TTTGTATGTATAACTACGATAAGCAAGTTCACGGGAGTTACGATCATGAATCAAACTCCATATGAAGCGTGGCATAGAAGGAGACCATCCGTAAATCATTTACGAGTTTTTGAGTGTGTTGCTTATGCTTTGGTAAATTCGTAAATTCGTCAAAAGCTTGATGAAAAATGTGAAAAATGTATTTTTATTGGTTATTGTACTCAATCCAAAGCATATAGATTGTATAACCCTCTTAGTTGCAAGATTTCAATTAAAAGGGATGTAATGTTTGATGAAAATACAAGCTTGGATTGGAGTGAAAAACAGGTGCAACAAGAGATTCCTATGCCTATTGGAATCTCTTCGGATGAAAGTCAAGAGCCAACTCTTATAAGTTCACCCGTTGGTTCCTCTACAACATCAACAAGTTCATCAACTTCAACGAACACTAAGCGAAACTCTTCATCCACAACTCTTGAAGAGTCTTCAAATGATACACCACCAAGGAAGTAAAGATCTTTGGCTAATATATATTCATCTTGTCGGTTTGCTCTTCACTGTTTCGGACCCTATAAATTATAGAGAAGTGCTGAAAAAAAAAGAGTGGCAAAAAGCAATGGTGGCAGAGATGAAAGCTATCGAAAAGAATGAAACATGGGAGATGGTTGACTTATCGAAAGGAAAAAATGCAATTGGTTTAAAGTGGGTGTTCAAGAAAAAATTTGTTGCGGACGAAAGCATACAAAAGCACAAAGCTCGTCTTTTGGCGAAAGGATATACACAACAATATGGTGTTGATTTTGAAGAAACCTTTTCTCCAAGTAGCTAAGTTTGAAACGATAAGGCTTGTTCTAGCATTGGTCGCACAATTGCAATGGCCTCGTTTATCAATTTGATGTTAATTCGACATTCCTTAATGGAGATTTATAAGAAGAGATCTATATAGCGTAACTAGAAGGTTTCATAAAGGAGGACGATGAAACAAAGATGTACAAGTTGAAAAAGGCATTGTATGGATTGAAGCGAGCTCCACGAGCTTGGTATAGCAAGATCGATGGGTATTTTCGGAAAAAGGGTACATGAGAAGTGAGAAGGAGCCTACTTTGTATGTGAAAAAGGAAGGTAAAAATTATTCCATCATTGTTTGTCTTTATGTTGATGATATCATTTACACTAGTTCCTCTAGCTCTCTTATGGATGAGTTTAAGTCTCAAATGATGAATGAATTTGAGGTGTCGGATATAGATTTATTGCATTATTTCCTTGGCCTTGAAGTCCGTCAAGCTAAAGATGGAATTTTATTTCACAAAGGAAATATGCCGGGGACCTCTTTAGTAAATTTGACATGCTTAAATGCAAGCTCGCGGCTACACCCATGAACATTAATGAAAAATTATAGCATGAAGATGGAGCGAAATGGCGGATGCCGGGAGGTTCGAAGCTTGGTTGGAGGCTTGATTTATTTAATGCACACTCGATCGGATATTGCATTTCTTGTTGGTGTTATTTCCAGCTTTATGCAACAACCTTCAAAGGTTCATTATGGAGCAACAAAGCGAGTCTTGCATTATATTGCTAGAACTATAGAGTATGGAATTTGGTACTTTAAAGCTTTCAATTTCAGATTATGTGGATTCACGGACGGTGATTGGGCGGGTTCGTTGGATAATAGAAAGAGCATTTCGGCTAATGTTTTCACTCTAGGATCGGGAGTGATCACTTGGAGCTCGAAGAAGCAAGCAACGGTGGCACCGTTGACCTCGGAAGGCGAGTACGTGGCAGCGACTTCATCGGTTTGTCAAGCCATTTGGCTAAGGAGAGTGTTACATGAACTTCAATAGGAACAAGAAGGACCAATAGAGATATTTTGTGACAACAAACCAACGATCTCCATGACGAGAGAATCCAACATTTCACAGCAGAACAAAGCATATCGAGTTATGTCACCATTTCATTCATGACCTCATCGCAAATGAGGAGGTAGCGTTGAAGTATTGTTGCACCGACGAGCGGTTAGCGGACATACTTACGAAGGCTTTATCAAAGGAGAAGTTCTGCTACTTTCAAGGTTTGCTTGGTGTGTGCAACTTTGAATCAAGGGGGAGTGTTGAGATGTGATTCAAAGGTTGATCGGGTTTTTTGGGGTCATAGGTTGTTGGTAGTTTTCAAAAATTATAAGTTTGTTTTTAATCAATTAGTAAGGGGCTAGTGGCTGTAGTGGACCTTAGCACGTGACAGAGTGATCCAAAAACCTTTGTCTATTTGTTTTTTTATGTAGGCCCATATATATATATATATATATATATATATATATATGGGCATTTCACATTGTCTTTTATTTTTTTTAAGTATCAGCCAAAGTAAAAAGTCTATGCAAACTTTATTTCTATTCTGTTTGTATCGTCTCTTTCTCCAACGGAAGTCATTGATTACTTGGACTGTTTTATTTGCTGGTGTTAGAATACCTCTCTCTTGAAGATAATCTTTATTCTTGAGATTTGTCAGGAGAACAGGGTATGTGCTGTTGACTATTGTTGCAAGTGGATTTTCTTCGTTTTGAAGCAACAAGCCTGGAGGCATTTTGCCCCATGACTCAGCATCTACTGTTCCCTACTGTCCATTACCTATCTTTAATATCCAATCGGCAAATTCAGCCGTTGAATCATCTGTTGCGGTTGTAGATGTTTCTAATAGCGTGTTCTAGGTCAACTTGAAAAATTTTACAATGGTTCCACAGATATGATTTTGTGATGCATACTTCTACAACATCTTCTCTTCTCTCTTTGTGAATCATCTGTAGTATTTGTCTAAAACCAACTCCCAGCATCATTGTCAATCCTCCAAGTGGTTTTTCACTGCTGTCTTGTATTGCTAATTGTAATATATCTCTTAAAGTTGCCCACTGTCCAGTGCTTCAAAACAAGTCCTTTTCCTTCATTCCATATTATTAGTGAGGCTTTTGAAATCAACTCTGCTTGTTGGGTTCCTTGCTTCATTTCGCACCTTGTCTTAACAGTTAAATTGAGAGGGATATGAAAGCTGGGACGTGCCGTTCTTCCTCCTGGAAATAGCAATGATGTGAATCCAGAATATGCCACATTCAAAACTATTTTTTCTTCCCATCTACTATTGGAAATTATAATTTTTTCAAAGGAATGTTTTGCTCGTGCTGCCATGTCCATTAACTGTTGCTATTTTGCACATAAACAAAGCAAAATATAATAGCAGTATTTTGACAGCAAAGACAAGTATATGAGACAGCAAAGTAACTTATCTTTCTTATTGAATCTGACATTCTTAAATACTGCAAATGTGAAACAGAAAAAATAAAAAAATATGCTGATTACAAGACATGATTAACAACTCTTCCTAACATCAAGCCGTAACTGCTATAAAAACTTTCTAAAAACATGGTCTTCAAGCACATGTTGTTTCAGCTTGACTAATTCTTATGCACTGTGCAGAATCATCTGTAGTACATCTCAGCTCATGTTATGACCCGGCTGATAGCTTCCATGTCAGCATGCAGCAGCTGTTAAGGCATGTTTGCAACATTAACAAAGAACAGCCCTCCCTCATTTTTTTCTGTTGACTCCGTTACCGTGTTGAATATTACTGCCCGCTGTTCATGGTTCAACTTGCTGAATAGTGAAAAATGTGTTATCATAGATGCACTCATATCAAAGTTGAGTTCTTCATTTAGTAGCCTGTTGTTGTATTGTCTGAATGGTGAAGTGTTTGGAACTGGCATGGCTTTGAAATCAGCGAAAGATTTTCCACTTCTCTTTAGGATCTCTTCTATCTTGAGTACGCCGTAATTTTGCTGCTCGTTCGAAATCCATTTCTAGCTTAGGATGGTTTAGAAGTTTCCTATGCAAGGATAGAATATCTTCACATATTGCTTCCCAATTGTCTTCCATAATTGCAAAGGATTTGTAACTTCATAATGTATCACCATTGCTGCAAACAAATGGCGCAACTGGTTGGCTGTTGCCCACGTTGAGGCCCATTTGACACAATCGTCCCACTCATTGTTATTACCAAACGATCCCAAAGCGTAGCATGAAGCTTTGAATGATGGATATTGTTTACAGTTCTGATATGATCGAATGATGTTCAGTTCTAATATTTTGATATGGTCGAATGATGTTGGGCCTTGAACCACATTGAGAAGCATTCTTAAATAATATTTCTCACCACTTTCAGGATGCGCATAATAGATTCTTCTAATACACTTACCTGACTTTCTACTTTTCCACGCTTTCTGTTCTTTTATGCCAAACCCACTTTTTTGGGAATTCTACCTAACTCAACGCTCTTGCATCTTTGTTTACTTGATTTGTGTACATCGATCTATTCGGTGAACATTGTCTTCTCTATTCCTGAATTTTGCACAATACTCTCTATGTTTCCTGCCTCCGGGAATATGATGGTTTGTTCATTTAGTAAGTGGAATGACAATCTCTCAAGTGTAAGGCTCTTAGTAATGAGTCCGGAATTGAAAGATTCGCCAGCATGCTTCAGTTGCAGATATACATATGTAGTTCAAGAAAGCTTTTATCTCGTCTTTCTCAACTACAGTCTCTCTATCACTATTTAGGTCTTTAAATAATTTTAAATCGCGGAACGTTGAAAAAACAGTTATGGTTGTTGTTGTCATTACGGATCATGATTTATTATAATATTAAAATAGTGATAATGATATGTTCTCAAACTATTATACAACAGTCATTGTATAACGTAATTACTGTTATTTAAAACTATACAGTCTAATAATATTTTCATGAAGTACAGCAATAGCACGTTCAGCCCCTTTATGCAAATGCTTGAATACATGATTAGTCTCGAGGTGTTGCATCACTCGACATTGATACGAGCCTTGTATCTGATTAATAGTTATTATTGTATGGTACAACAAAACGGTTGTCGACTTTTTGGCTCCTTTCTTAATGACAAAGTTGTCATCACCTCATCTTCTATAGATAGCGAAGCCATTTTCATCGATATATAGTTGTGTCATCATGGTATTTCTTCGGAAAATACTTGAGCATTTTTCATCGACCCTACATGGAGCATCTCTGTCTAGCTCGCCACAAGGAACACGCATCATGAATTTGGCTACTGCTGCGTATGTCTCAGGTCTTTCTTCCGATATGATTTCATGTTTACGTGAAGTGCTTGGTTTTCATGCATATGTGTTAAGTGCTTGGTTTTTTATCATGAGGATGCAAGAAGACCAATATGTACTGTGCATGTGGAAAGCCTCTCATAGTCTCATCTGGAATTCTACTGTGTATATATAAAATTTCTCCAGAGAGAGTATTAGTTTTGAAGTTCTCACACAACATGAAAATGCAATTATAAATATTTTTATAAGTGCAACATGGCTTCCTTTCACTTGCACCGAAAATATATCCAGACGATATTTTTTGTACAGAGCCTTTAATATTGCTCAACATGCTCATCATGTTTAATTTCGTACAGAGTGACTTATTGTTTATTACTTTATAAACTAGAATTTTTTATTTATTTTAATTATGCTTCACTATGATTTGGAAACAATTAGTATAGCATTTCGCATGTTGTCGCCGGTCAATCTATATAATATATTTTAATATTTTAAATAATTTAAAAATCTAGATATAAAGTAAAAATTAATAACATTAATTGTGGAAATTTATTTAATTTAATATGCGTTATGCAATATTTTATATTTGGGTTTAAATATATCATATGAATATATTTGATTTTGATCAATAAAAAAAAGAAAAAAAAGAAAACATACAATTAATTATTTTTAAAATCAAATTACATGAGGGTGCTAAATCAATTTATATTAGAAAAATATTTAATTTTAATCAATGAGCCTATAAAAAAATAAAAACCATTAACTATTTAGGATTTTTTTTTTTTTTGAGCAAATCATAAATAATAAAAAAATAAAAACTTAAAAAAAGGGCTGGACTGGAGCTCGCATCGAGTCCTTTTGTGTGGGCCAGGAGACAACCAAGCTTAAGTTCTTGGGCTAGATAATTGTATACAATAGCATACTATTTTCTACAGCATTCGTAATCTCTATGGGCAAATCACAATAATGACCATAAATTATTTTCAATCTATGGGAATGGGGCATATTAGCTAATCTATCAGCTGTTGCATTTGTTGTCCCACACATGATCGATCGTATTTGATCTTTTCAATAGAAGACATATACGGCCAAGGTGTTTGAATATTATTATTAACAGCATTAAAGAATCTAATTCTAGTCACATTTGCTTAAACTCTAAATTCTTGGTGTCGCCATCCAACATTTAAGAAACTTTTAAATTTTTAGTAAAAAAAAAAGAATTAAGAATGCTTTGAAATCACCATCTAGTATTAAAAGTAACTAATAACCTAAAAGGATATTGGATTCAAAAATTCTGATTAAAGAGTTGATTATATATTTGGAAAGATAACAATCAAACAAAAACATCATTTTTGAAGAAAAGTATCGGGTTTATTCTAAAGATAAGAATATCTCTTAAAAATTATATTTTTGCTTTTATTTTTTAAGTCTATTTTTAAGCTTAATTATCATCTAAGTTAAATTAATTTTTATATTTTTTATTATAACATCGTATTAAATTAACGTCGGATTCCAAGGTTATGAGTCGTGTCAAATTAACATTGGATATAATTACATTCGACATGACTAATATATCGAGAAACGAACTAATTAACTAAACGTGTTTAATTAAATTGCATCTATCCTAACCGATTCTCTTTCTTTCAGTTTTTTTTTTTTTTTGAATAATATTTTTTAGTAAAGTGTCAAGACCAACGTTGGTCTCTATTTAAAATAAGAGACTCGTTACCTCGACTTGACTTTACTAATTAGCTTAAGATGATATTTATTTTATTGCAGCATATTAAACTTGATATGAAATCATTGTTGGTCCCTAGACTGTAGAAGACTGGATGATTCAGATCAAATGTGGTAAAGCTCAAATCTTCATTGAAATACTCATATGGAAGAAAAATATCGAAATAAATATCAAATGGAGTCCAAATTTAATGAAAATTTTACAAAGACCCTTTAACCTACATATATACATCTCCTAACATTTCCATGTCAAAATTAAATCGGAAACATGCCCAGATAATTAAATTTCCAAAAAAGCCCCTTACTGATAAATAATTTGACAGCAGAATAAACACAAAATAAAAATAAATATCAAACTACATCCAAAAATTATGAAAGTAAAAAAAGTTAGTTAAGAACAGATACATGTACAACATATAAAAAATTCAAGTCAAAATATCAAATACAACCATGTCAAATAAATAAATTTCGAGACAGTCCCTGAACATGATATTTTTGTAGGTTTAACCCAATTCCTTTAAATTTAGGTACATAATTGCAAAAATCAATTATTATTGAACACTCACATGAAATAACCTGTTAATTTGGAAGGCTAAAATCTTAAACAACACCATGAACCCGAAATTTTACATGAATGACAGTTCTTGCTTCCAAAAACTCTTTCTCCTTTTTTTTTTCTTTCTAATTTTTCTCCTATGTTTTCTCTTTTCTTTTATTTATTATTATTTCTGTTTTTTTTTATTGCTATTTCTCCTCCCCTTTTACCATATCTTTCCCTTCCCCATTTTTTTCTTTTTTTTGCTACTGCCATTTTCTCTCCATATTTTTCTCATCCCCCCAAAACAAACTCTTTCTCCTTGTTTCTCTCTCTAAATCTTCTCCTATGTTTTCTCCTTTTTTTGTTTTTTTTTTTTTTTTTTCCCTGCTACTGCCGTTCTCTCTCCAAATTTTTTCTCCTTCCCCCCTTCTTTTTTTTACTCTTCGGCAACACCCCCCCCCCCCCCCCCCCCCCCCTTTTTTTTCTTTCTCGTCCTATTTGCTAGTATTAGTTTCCTAACCACATAAATATTCCTATCTTTTTATCTAGCTTTCCTTTTCTTTTCTTTTTTCTTTTTTTATTCTCTTCGGCTGACAATCTCCTTTATTTATATATATATATATATTTTTTTTTTTTTAAGGCTTCTTACTTTGCATTGATTACCCTCTTTTTTTATTTTTTTTATTATTTTTACAGGCTGTCTAATAAAAATTAATGAAAACTATTCTATACATAAGAAGAGATAAAGTTGGAAGCCTTACCTGTTACAAGTGAGATTATGAAGAAGTTATGAGTATGTCCTTCTTGCTTAACCTTATAAACGAGAGAAATAAGCTTGATGAAAATCATTTACGAGTTTTTGAGTGTGTTGCTTATGCTTTGGTAAATTCGTAAATTCGTCAAAAGCTTGATGAAAAATGTGAAAAATGTATTTTTATTGGTTATTGTACTCAATCCAAAGCATATAGATTGTATAACCCTCTTAGTTGCAAGATTTCAATTAAAAGGGATGTAATGTTTGATGAAAATACAAGCTTGGATTGGAGTGAAAAACGAGTGCAACAAGAGATTCCTATGCCTATTGGAATCTCTTCGGATGAAAGTCAAGAGCCAACTCTTATAAGTTCACCCGTTGGTTCCTCTACAACATCAACAAGTTCATCAACTTCAGCAACACTAAGCGTAAACTCTTCATCCACAACTCTTGAAGAGTCTTCAAATGATACACCACCAAGGAAGTAAAGATCTTTGGCTAATATATATTCATCTTGTCGGTTTGCTCTTCATCGTTTCGGACCCTATAAATTATAGAGAAGTGCTGAAAAAAAAAGAGTGGCAAAAAGCAATGGTGGCAGAGATGAAAGCTATCGAAAAGAATGAAACATGGGAGATGGTTGACTTATCGAAAGGAAAAAATGCAATTGGTTTAAAGTGGGTGTTCAAGAAAAAATTTGTTGCGGACGAAAGCATACAAAAGCACAAAGCTCGTCTTTTGGCGAAAGGATATACACAACAATATGGTGTTGATTTTGAAGAAACCTTTTCTCCGAGTAGCTAAGTTTGAAACGATAAGGCTTGTTCTAGCATTGGTCGCACAATTGCAATGGCCTCGTTTATCAATTTGATGTTAATTCGACATTCCTTAATGGAGATTTATAAGAAGAGATCTATATAGCGTAACTAGAAGGTTTCATAAAGGAGGACGATGAAACAAAGATGTACAAGTTGAAAAAGGCATTGTATGGATTGAAGCGGGCTCCACGAGCTTGGTATAGCAAGATCGATGGGTATTTTCGGAAAAAGGGTACATGAGAAGTGAGAAGGAGCCTACTTTGTATGTGAAAAAGGAAGGTAAAAATTATTCCATCATTGTTTGTCTTTATGTTGATGATATCATTTACACTAGTTCCTCTAGCTCTCTTATGGATGAGTTTAAGTCTCAAATGATGAATGAATTTGAGGTGTCGGATATAGATTTATTGCATTATTTCCTTGGCCTTGAAGTCCGTCAAGCTAAAGATGGAATTTTATTTCACAAAGGAAATATGCCGGGGACCTCTTTAGTAAATTTGACATGCTTAAATGCAAGCTCGCGGCTACACCCATGAACATTAATGAAAAATTATAGCATGAAGATGGAGCGAAATGGCGGATGCCGGGAGGTTCGAAGCTTGGTTGGAGGCTTGATTTATTTAATGCACACTCGATCGGATATTGCATTTCTTGTTGGTGTTATTTCCGGTTTTATGCAACAACCTTCAAAGGTTCATTATGGAGCAACAAAGCGAGTCTTGCATTATATTGCTAGAACTATAGAGTATGGAATTTGGTACTTTAAAGCTTTCAATTTCAGATTATGTGGATTCACGGACGGTGATTGGGCGGAGTTCGTTGGATAATAGAAAGAGCATTTCGGCTAATGTTTTCACTCTAGGATCGGGAGTGATCACTTGGAGCTCGAAGAAGCAAGCAACGGTGGCACTCGTTGACCTCGGAAGTCGAGTACGTGGCAGCAACTTCATCGGTTTGTCAAGCCATTTGGCTAAGGAGAGTGTTACATGAACTTCAATAGGAACAAGAAGGACCAATAGAGATATTTTGTGACAACAAACCAACGATCTCCATGACGAGAGAATCCAACATTTCACAGCAGAACAAAGCATATCGAGTTATGTCACCATTTCATTCATGACCTCATCGCAAATGAGGAGGTAGCGTTGAAGTATTGTTGCACCGACGAGCGGTTAGCGGACATACTTACGAAGGCTTTATCAAAGGAGAAGTTCTGCTACTTTCAAGGTTTGCTTGGTGTGTGCAACTTTGAATCAAGGGGAGTGTTGAGATGTGATTCAAAGGTTGATCGGGTTTTTGGGGTCATAGGTTGTTGGTAGTTTTCAAAAATTATAAGTTTGTTTTTAATCAATTAGTAAGGGGCTAGTGGCTGTAGTGGACCTTAGCACGTGACAGAGTGATCCAAAAACCTTTGTCTATTTGTTTTTTTATGTAGGCCCATATATATATATATATATATATATATATATATATGGGCATTTCACATTGTCTTTTATTTTTTTTTAAGTATCAGCCAAAGTAAAAAGTCTATGCAAACTTTATTTCTATTCTGTTTGTATCGTCTCTTTCTCCAACGGAAGTCATTGATTACTTGGACTGTTTTATTTGCTGGTGTTAGAATACCTCTCTCTTGAAGATAATCTTTATTCTTGAGATTTGTCAGGAGAACAGGGTATGTGCTGTTGACTATTGTTGCAAGTGGATTTTCTTCGTTTTGAAGCAACAAGCCTGGAGGCATTTTGCCCCATGACTCAGCATCTACTGTTCCCTACTGTCCATTACCTATCTTTAATATCCAATCGGCAAATTCAGCCGTTGAATCATCTGTTGCGGTTGTAGATGTTTCTAATAGCGTGTTCTAGGTCAACTTGAAAAATTTTACAATGGTTCCACAGATATGATTTTGTGATGCATACTTCTACAACATCTTCTCTTCTCTCTTTGTGAATCATCTGTAGTATTTGTCTAAAACCAACTCCCAGCATCATTGTCAATCCTCCAAGTGGTTTTTCACTGCTGTCTTGTATTGCTAATTGTAATATATCTCTTAAAGTTGCCCACTGTCCAGTGCTTCAAAACAAGTCCTTTTCCTTCATTCCATATTATTAGTGAGGCTTTTGAAATCAACTCTGCTTGTTGGGTTCCTTGCTTCATTTCGCACCTTGTCTTAACAGTTAAATTGAGAGGGATATGAAAGCTGGGACGTGCCGTTCTTCCTCCTGGAAATAGCAATGATGTGAATCCAGAATATGCCACATTCAAAACTATTTTTTCTTCCCATCTACTATTGGAAATTATAATTTTTTCAAAGGAATGTTTTGCTCGTGCTGCCATGTCCATTAACTGTTGCTATTTTGCACATAAACAAAGCAAAATATAATAGCAGTATTTTGACAGCAAAGACAAGTATATGAGACAGCAAAGTAACTTATCTTTCTTATTGAATCTGACATTCTTAAATACTGCAAATGTGAAACAGAAAAAATAAAAAAATATGCTGATTACAAGACATGATTAACAACTCTTCCTAACATCAAGCCGTAACTGCTATAAAAACTTTCTAAAAACATGGTCTTCAAGCACATGTTGTTTCAGCTTGACTAATTCTTATGCACTGTGCAGAATCATCTGTAGTACATCTCAGCTCATGTTATGACCCGGCTGATAGCTTCCATGTCAGCATGCAGCAGCTGTTAAGGCATGTTTGCAACATTAACAAAGAACAGCCCTCCCTCATTTTTTTCTGTTGACTCCGTTACCGTGTTGAATATTACTGCCCGCTGTTCATGGTTCAACTTGCTGAATAGTGAAAAATGTGTTATCATAGATGCACTCATATCAAAGTTGAGTTCTTCATTTAGTAGCCTGTTGTTGTATTGTCTGAATGGTGAAGTGTTTGGAACTGGCATGGCTTTGAAATCAGCGAAAGATTTTCCACTTCTCTTTAGGATCTCTTCTATCTTGAGTACGCCGTAATTTTGCTGCTCGTTCGAAATCCATTTCTAGCTTAGGATGGTTTAGAAGTTTCCTATGCAAGGATAGAATATCTTCACATATTGCTTCCCAATTGTCTTCCATAATTGCAAAGGATTTGTAACTTCATAATGTATCACCATTGCTGCAAACAAATGGCGCAACTGGTTGGCTGTTGCCCACGTTGAGGCCCATTTGACACAATCGTCCCACTCATTGTTATTACCAAACGATCCCAAAGCGTAGCATGAAGCTTTGAATGATGGATATTGTTTACAGTTCTGATATGATCGAATGATGTTCAGTTCTAATATTTTGATATGGTCGAATGATGTTGGGCCTTGAACCACATTGAGAAGCATTCTTAAATAATATTTCTCACCACTTTCAGGATGCGCATAATAGATTCTTCTAATACACTTACCTGACTTTCTACTTTTCCACGCTTTCTGTTCTTTTATGCCAAACCCACTTTTTTGGGAATTCTACCTAACTCAACGCTCTTGCATCTTTGTTTACTTGATTTGTGTACATCGATCTATTCGGTGAACATTGTCTTCTCTATTCCTGAATTTTGCACAATACTCTCTATGTTTCCTGCCTCCGGGAATATGATGGTTTGTTCATTTAGTAAGTGGAATGACAATCTCTCAAGTGTAAGGCTCTTAGTAATGAGTCCGGAATTGAAAGATTCGCCAGCATGCTTCAGTTGCAGATATACATATGTAGTTCAAGAAAGCTTTTATCTCGTCTTTCTCAACTACAGTCTCTCTATCACTATTTAGGTCTTTAAATAATTTTAAATCGCGGAACGTTGAAAAAACAGTTATGGTTGTTGTTGTCATTACAGATCATGATTTATTATAATATTAAAATAGTGATAATGATATGTTCTCAAACTATTATACAACAGTCATTGTATAACGTAATTACTGTTATTTAAAACTATACAGTCTAATAATATTTTCATGAAGTACAGCAATAGCACGTTCAGCCCCTTTATGCAAATGCTTGAATACATGATTAGTCTCGAGGTGTTGCATCACTCGACATTGATACGAGCCTTGTATCTGATTAATAGTTATTATTGTATGGTACAACAAAACGGTTGTCGACTTTTTGGCTCCTTTCTTAATGACAAAGTTGTCATCACCTCATCTTCTATAGATAGCGAAGCCATTTTCATCGATATATAGTTGTGTCATCATGGTATTTCTTCGGAAAATACTTGAGCATTTTTCATCGACCCTACATGGAGCATCTCTGTCTAGCTCGCCACAAGGAACACGCATCATGAATTTGGCTACTGCTGCGTATGTCTCAGGTCTTTCTTCCGATATGATTTCATGTTTACGTGAAGTGCTTGGTTTTCATGCATATGTGTTAAGTGCTTGGTTTTTTATCATGAGGATGCAAGAAGACCAATATGTACTGTGCATGTGGAAAGCCTCTCATAGTCTCATCTGGAATTCTACTGTGTATATATAAAATTTCTCCAGAGAGAGTATTAGTTTTGAAGTTCTCACACAACATGAAAATGCAATTATAAATATTTTTATAAGTGCAACATGGCTTCCTTTCACTTGCACCGAAAATATATCCAGACGATATTTTTTGTACAGAGCCTTTAATATTGCTCAACATGCTCATCATGTTTAATTTCGTACAGAGTGACTTATTGTTTATTACTTTATAAACTAGAATTTTTTATTTATTTTAATTATGCTTCACTATGATTTGGAAACAATTAGTATAGCATTTCGCATGTTGTCGCCGGTCAATCTATATAATATATTTTAATATTTTAAATAATTTAAAAATCTAGATATAAAGTAAAAATTAATAACATTAATTGTGGAAATTTATTTAATTTAATATGCGTTATGCAATATTTTATATTTGGGTTTAAATATATCATATGAATATATTTGATTTTGATCAATAAAAAAAAGAAAAAAAAGAAAACATACAATTAATTATTTTTAAAATCAAATTACATGAGGGTGCTAAATCAATTTATATTAGAAAAATATTTAATTTTAATCAATGAGCCTATAAAAAAATAAAAACCATTAACTATTTAGGATTTTTTTTTTTTTTGAGCAAATCATAAATAATAAAAAAATAAAAACTTAAAAAAAGGGCTGGACTGGAGCTCGCATCGAGTCCTTTTGTGTGGGCCAGGAGACAACCAAGCTTAAGTTCTTGGGCTAGATAATTGTATACAATAGCATACTATTTTCTACAGCATTCGTAATCTCTATGGGCAAATCACAATAATGACCATAAATTATTTTCAATCTATGGGAATGGGGCATATTAGCTAATCTATCAGCTGTTGCATTTGTTGTCCCACACATGATCGATCGTATTTGATCTTTTCAATAGAAGACATATACGGCCAAGGTGTTTGAATATTATTATTAACAGCATTAAAGAATCTAATTCTAGTCACATTTGCTTAAACTCTAAATTCTTGGTGTCGCCATCCAACATTTAAGAAACTTTTAAATTTTTAGTAAAAAAAAAAGAATTAAGAATGCTTTGAAATCACCATCTAGTATTAAAAGTAACTAATAACCTAAAAGGATATTGGATTCAAAAATTCGATTAAAGAGTTGATTATATATTTGGAAAGATAACAATCAAACAAAAACATCATTTTTGAAGAAAAGTATCGGGTTTATTCTAAAGATAAGAATATCTCTTAAAAATTATATTTTTGCTTTTATTTTTTAAGTCTATTTTTAAGCTTAATTATCATCTAAGTTAAATTAATTTTTATATTTTTTATTATAACATCGTATTAAATTAACGTCGGATTCCAAGGTTATGAGTCGTGTCAAATTAACATTGGATATAATTACATTCCGACATGACTAATATATCGAGAAACGAACTAATTAACTAAACGTGTTTAATTAAATTGCATCTATCCTAACCGATTCTCTTTCTTTCAGTTTTTTTTTTTTTTTTGAATAATATTTTTTAGTAAAGTGTCAAGACCAACGTTGGTCTCTATTTAAAATAAGAGACTCGTTACCTCGACTTGACTTTACTAATTAGCTTAAGATGATATTTATTTTATTGCAGCATATTAAACTTGATATGAAATCATTGTTGGTCCCTAGACTGTAGAAGACTGGATGATTCAGATCAAATGTGGTAAAGCTCAAATCTTCATTGAAATACTCATATGGAAGAAAAATATCGAAATAAATATCAAATGGAGTCCAAATTTAATGAAAATTTTACAAAGACCCTTTAACCTACATATATACATCTCCTAACATTTCCATGTCAAAATTAAATCGGAAACATGCCCAGATAATTAAATTTCCAAAAAAGCCCCTTACTGATAAATAATTTGACAGCAGAATAAACACAAAATAAAAATAAATATCAAACTACATCCAAAAATTATGAAAGTAAAAAAAGTTAGTTAAGAACAGATACATGTACAACATATAAAAAATTCAAGTCAAAATATCAAATACAACCATGTCAAATAAATAAATTTCGAGACAGTCCCTGAACATGATATTTTTGTAGGTTTAACCCAATTCCTTTAAATTTAGGTACATAATTGCAAAAATCAATTATTATTGAACACTCACATGAAATAACCTGTTAATTTGGAAGGCTAAAATCTTAAACAACACCATGAACCCGAAATTTTACATGAATGACAGTTCTTGCTTCCAAAAACTCTTTCTCCTTTTTTTTTTCTTTCTAATTTTTCTCCTATGTTTTCTCTTTTCTTTTATTTATTATTATTTCTGTTTTTTTTTATTGCTATTTCTCCTCCCCTTTTACCATATCTTTCCCTTCCCCATTTTTTTCTTTTTTTTGCTACTGCCATTTTCTCTCCATATTTTTCTCATCCCCCCAAAACAAACTCTTTCTCCTTGTTTCTCTCTCTAAATCTTCTCCTATGTTTTCTCCTTTTTTTGTTTTTTTTTTTTTTTTCCCTGCTACTGCCGTTCTCTCTCCAAATTTTTTCTCCTTCCCCCCTTCTTTTTTTTACTCTTCGGCAACACCCACCCCCCCCCCCCCCCCCCCCCCCCCTTTTTTTTCTTTCTCGTCCTATTTGCTAGTATTAGTTTCCTAACCACATAAATATTCCTATCTTTTTATCTAGCTTTCCTTTTCTTTTCTTTTTTCTTTTTTTATTCTCTTCGGCTGACAATCTCCTTTATTTATATATATATATATATATTTTTTTTTTTTAAGGCTTCTTACTTTGCATTGATTACCCTCTTTTTTTATTTTTTTTATTATTTTTACAGGCTGTCTAATAAAAATTAATGAAAACTATTCTATACATAAGAAGAGATAAAGTTGGAAGCCTTACCTGTTACAAGTGAGATTATGAAGAAGTTATGAGTATGTCCTTCTTGCTTAACCTTATAAACAGAGAAATAAGCTTTCTTTTTTCTTCCTGAAAAATTATTTTTCGTTGATTTTTTTCTAGACACAAAATAAACATTAGAAAATAAAAGAAAATAAGAAACACAAATTCTTAAAACTTATTTTTTTCAAACAAACACAGCCTTGGTAATGCTAAATTTAGACCGGAAGAATTAACAACTAATCCCCACAAATCTTCTACAAAAGCTGATATTCAAATTTAAAAATTCAAAGGTTTTTTTTTTGAAAAATTAACCCTTTAATTGGTCCTCGTTTTCCAAATGTCTTGCAATTATACCCTTGTATGCCTTGTTTTCCCTTCAATTGTAGTCCCTTTTCATCTTAATTTGATTCGATTATACCCCCAGGAATTCTTAATTGCTTCCCCAATTTAATATTTTTACATTGACCCACAAATTTTTTAAATTAATTACAATTAAAACCCTTAATAATTAATCCGAAACTGACTCCATCTTTTTGCGTTTTTTTATCTTTTTATTTTTGTATTTATGATAAAATGATGAATGAGAAATTAGACCAAAATTAAAAACTAAATAAAAAAAACCTAATAATATTAATAAAAATTCATGAAAAATCTATACTATGAAATAAAATTTAAGAAACTTTTGTAAAATATTTAAAACAAATTGGAGTGTCAAAAATATAGGTTATGACATTTACATAATTCGTTGACTATGTAACTGATAATTCATCGAAAAACTACAATTGGATACGCTACTTGTTGGATTTCTTTCAATTAATATACAGATAAAAATATTTTGAGAATAAAACCAACTAAATTGATGACAACTTTACATTTTATAAGTAACACTTGGCGTGGAGGGGCCAAGTTAAAAAAAAAATAAAAATACAAAGAGATGGAATGTGAGGCATTTTAAACTAGGAGTAACTAATTATTTTGCTAAAAATACAAGAATTAAATAAAATTAAAATTTATTTTCCGAATAAAATGACAAAAAAAAAAAAAACGAAAAGACGTCATAAGGATCAAAGCGGACCAGTCCAAGTAACCACCAACAATACTGAAAATTCCAAAACAAAAGAAAGAAGCAGTAGAAAGAGTGAAGCCATTTCAACGCCAATGTACTACTCCCTTCCCTGCTCTAAAACGTAAGCCCTCTTCTTCCTCCTCCAACTTTTTATTTCCTCGTTTCCATTTTAGAGTTGTAATAACAACAAAAAATGCATGCATTCCATAGTTTTTGTGTGGCGCATGGTGATATACATTCATTGCCAGACTACAGTAACGTTGGTGTCTATACATTAATTCCTCCTTTCTTGAAATCCACAGATTATGATGTTAAATATTGGTTTCTTTGACGAATAGTTCTTTTATTCTCATGGTTTCTTTATTGGAATTGATGGTGGCGTTAATTTGTTAATGTTATGATCACTACTCTAATTTTGTTTTTCTCTTTGAGATAATTAATGGGATTTTCTCACTGCACTACCATATGTGCATTAAATGTACCAATTGTTGGTATTTTCGATTTTCGGAGAATCAAGAATTAGCATATGCCTAGTATTGTTGTAAAGATTTGAACCCTTGATACTCTCTAGAGAATCAAGAGTTTAACATCTTTTGTAGGTATCAATCAGACTAGGTACTAGTTCAGCAATGGAGGGGCTAACTTATGTGCATGTGTTTGTAGTGCTACTTCCTTTTCAACAGATGATATTGAATTGCTTGTTGGTTCAAATTAATCTCAAATTTGAAGTGTATATATAATTCCTTTGAATATCCTGAAAATTGGCAGTTCAAATATGTTTGAAAATTGTTGGTTCAAATGCATTCATTACTTTTTTACCTCGTATGGATAGTCGATGTGATCTTGATACGCATTAACAATTTTGCTGTGAGAATAATCTTATATATTTAAGGAAGTTTTAAGACTGATTATCCTCTTAAGAAAGGAATAATTATGCTTCTTTATCTCTGACATAAAAGTTAGATTTTGAATTCTTGATGTTATGACAATCCTTTTTTCAAGGGGTGAGTTCAAATTTGAGAGAGGAATAATATAATATATGGGAGTTATTGTTTAGCTTGTGTTCGAGTATCTGTACATTTGTTTATGCTTTTCTGTGATGCCATGTAGAGAAATGATTTGCTCATCACTTTTGGGATAGGTCGTTCATAAAGGAACGGATTAGGATAATCAGGTGGATAAAAGAATGTCATTGATCATAATCCAATTTGAGCAAGTACTACATGTTGAATTTTATTCTAATGCTGCTTTTGCAGACTGTTAATGTCAAAAGGATGGAACTTGAAGAGGTGCATTCTGATCTGTGTTCCTTAAGAAAATTATATGGGCTCCTACAGGGTAGTCAAGCCGATCTGCAAATGTCAGGCTTTGTAAGATTTCTATAAACAACCTTACTAAATTTCCTTTCTGCTACTGAATGTTGTATAGGTGGGAAACGTCCAATATTGCTGTGAAGGACTCATGAATTCCTTTCATTGTTTTCTTCCTTTAATTATTCTTATTGTTGATTACTGTGATAAGAAAAAAAGCATATCTGAACAGACAGTAGATTTTTTGCAGCTTTGGGATTGATTTGTCGATTACTGTGGTATTGTGAAATTCTATTTAATCTATTCTTGAATACCAATCAAAATTTATGGTGCTGCTACTCTTCTTTTTTTTTTTTTTTGAGGTGCTTAATTTTTTTGCTCTAGTGGTTGCATTGTCAATATTTAGTCTCTGATATTTCTTTCCAACGGTTGGCAAAGAGAGTGAAGGAAGGAAATGAAAATATTGGTTTGTGTTTCACTAATGTGTGCTTTTGAACAGTTGGATGAGAGAGCACGAGGGCTTCTGAAGAATCTGCTAGATGCTGCTACAGAGAAGGCTTTATTGGCTTATTCAAAGGTATATTCTGTCAACTTTGTGCTTTCTGTCAAATGAGCTATAGCTTCTGTAATACTGAGGAAATCGAATATAAGTCAAGCTTTTCAAACCTACACGAAATGTTAAGAATTGCTAATTATGGTAAATAAAAGTAAAAAGGAACTCCCTGCATATCTGGATTAAAGTTTTTTGCAACATGTTTAGTTTTTTGATATATAAATACAACTGTTTCAAAATGGAACCTTAACTAGCTTGGGTAACCGGATAACCATTCAACCTAACGGTACTAATCCTTGCATGGATGTAAATAACGGCCGTTATATAATCGTTTCGGAGCTCCCCATTACCATTATTTGGCATTATATAACGGTTGCAATCTTTATTTTACTACTACAGTAAACCACGACCTGTGATCACGACTGCAACTGTTTTTTTAATTGCTTCCGCGATTTAGAACTATGAATCCTTGTAACGCAAGGGAGGAGGATTGGTGATGAGTTTTGAGCACTTCCCTTTCACATGTTTGGTGTGAAAAAAGCATCCTAGGTAATTTCAATAGTTGTCATCTGACTTTGTTTGATGTTTTGAAATCACAGATCATAGCGGCAGCACAATCAGGTGTGTCTAACATACCCTACTCTTCTCGATCAGTGCAGCCCAAGACCGTGCCATATTTGGAATCTCCTGTTTCAGCCAATGCAGTGAAGGCTTCTCCAAGTACCATTCAGAGTTCAAATGCTAATACAAATTTTTGTGCAAACAATTCATGGAAAGATGAGCAATCACTTATTAAGCCAACACCTCAGGATGCAGGGTCAGAGCATTCCAAATTCAGTGTCTCATTAAACAAACCTGAAAGTAGAAAAAAACTCTGTCGAGTTTGTAAGCAAAACAGCGTGAAGCTGCAGAAATTGGCCAAGAATTTGAACGAAGATGGTAATTATAGAGATCCGGAACATGTCGAGGCTCATTGGATTAATGGGAATGCAAAAGGATCGCTCGAGCTAAAATTGAAGGGTCTCAAATCAGCAGTGACTAGTAGTGAAGAGCCAAGACAGAGAAGAAATTGTGAAATTCAATGTCAACCAAGTGTTCCTAGTTCCACTTTTTGTGCCTCAAGTTCGCCGGGTACTAGGTTTGTTAAACTAGGATCTGAACTTCTATCTGGTCACATTGATAAGCATCGAGAGGATGCAGAGAGTAATTCCTCTAAGAAAGTTGCAAAAGCTATGAAATCTAGTGAATCTGGAATGTCCTCGTCATCGTTGCAGCTTTATGGTGAGAATGTGGATTCACTTAAAGCTAACAAAGCAGCTTTCGACCATAATTTGTCCAAAGAGGATAACTCAATAAGAACTAAAATGCAATCGATACAAGGGGATGGTTCGGCTGCAATGGGTGAAATGAGTCCTGCCAAGAGACAAAATGTGGATAGTTCAGTTGCAGTGAGCGAAAACCATGCAAAGAGACAGTATGTGAGAGAAATTGTTGAGAGAATTGAGTCACTCAATCGAGCTTCAAGTCAGAAGAACTATCAAACACGTCAGTCTGTTCATGGGTTGCAGGTTTCCCCGCGTCACAACGATGTAGTCAAGGAGTCCTCAAAGCATGGTATGAAGGTTCGGCAAGGCCCTCCATTTCGGAATCCAGTGGCTCGGCTGGAGGAAAAATCCAGGCCATCTGTAACATCAATACCTCTGTCTGCAGGGTTAAAGGTGCCAACTCACAAAAGAAACCCGTCACCTCAGACATTTATAAGGCCAACACTGCTAGATTATGGTGATCGTCACAAGAGAAGCACCCCAAAGAGATCTTATGTGGGCTCACAAGAAGATTCAGATGAGGCAACCAGCTCAAGTTCAAACCATCGCTCGCCGGAACTGTCAGACGAGCCAGCCAGCTCAAGCTCTAACCCTCACTCACCAGAACTGTCAGATACCACAGCTAGCTCAAGCTATAATTCCCGTTCACCAGAAGAGTCATATGAGACAGCCAGCTCAAGCTCTAGTACTCCTCACTCTTCTTACAGCTGGACAAGTCAGCAGCAGACACCAGGCAGCAGCAGAGGTAGCGATGAGGGTTCTGAAGATTACTATGAGCGTGGAGATCCTCCACCGAGAGTAATGGGTCGTAGTAGAAGATACCGATCACCGAGCCCTATGAAGAAAGCAACTGGAGGTTTTAGAGGGCTAAAAAACAAGCTGGGGCTCATTTTCCACCACCATCACCACCACCACCACCACCATCATCATGATGACAAAGGTAGTGAGAAGGCACCCACCAGATCCATGTGGAAGAACTTGCACAAAATGTTCCAACACAAAGACTTGAAGCACGGTAAGGCCTATCAGAAAAAAGCAGTTGAGAAGTTCAGAAAAGCTGTAGTGGTAAGTAACAAGAAGCAGAAGGCTGGACATTTTCATGCATTGGTTAAAGGGTTGATGAAGCATGCTAGAAAGTCAAAGAAAAAGAAACCAAAGCCTTCCAAAGGTGGGATCGGACGACAAATAGGACATGCGAAAAATGGCCGTGATAATAATAAGCATTGGTGGAAAATGTTTCATCGCCATCGACGAGGAGTAAAGCTACCGAATAGAGGGCGTGTTAAGCTTGGAATTCCCTGCAGAAAGAACAAGAAACCCCGGCTAAAAGCCCTGAAATAAGATTGGTTAGCAATTTGTACAACCAAATTCAACAGTAGTATAATTTTTTCATTAGCATGAAACAATATCTCTTGGATTTCCAAAATATTTATATGGTCAAATGTGTAATACCTAACTAAAGTTTAAAATAATTTAATTTTTAAAATCATATATGCAAATATATCAAAAATAAGTAGATAAATGTATATGATTTTCTTTTAGGGATTCCAAACAAATTTGAGATTATTTTTTATTTTTTACAAATATGTAAGAAAACTTTAAAAATACTTCGTGATCTCAAAATTTTTTAAAATAAATTGAATTTTTATTAGCATATGTGAAACTTTTCAGTTCAAAATACCAAAAATTAATTTTTTTTTAAAGGGATTTTATTAAATAAAATAATACAAATAAAAAGAAATAGCTAAAACATATATATACAGTATGTTTACAAACTGCCAAATGCTTCCATCAAATACTTCTGTTGTTTCATTAAATCCAAAATAAGTTATGGAATAAAGTTATTGAAAATCAAGTCAATCTTTAAAAAAATTCTCAAAATTCCTATTAATAGAATTGCAAGGGTTTTTTTTCTTTTTCTTTTTTTTTTCAGAAAGAATTATAAGCTGTTGACTCAACGGTGAAACTCCATTTCTAGCTGGTATGTGTAATACAACTGTTAGAATTTTAGTTTTCATACGTATACCATACACTAATTTAAAAGGCTTACTGTACGGAAGGAAAAAAAAAACACAAACTTACACTTTTTAATCGTATTTAATTATATTAGCACGTTTTTTTAATATTGAATAGAAAATATATAACTTAAACTTTTGTTTTAACCATTTAGCATGCATGACTTTTTCAGGCTAAAATTACGTTAATATCTGATGTGGCAGGAGAAAAATGTTGATTTTTTTTATCAAAATTTTGTTAATATTTGACGTGATAAAGAATTTTACTTCATGCAATCAATATTGAAATTTTAGTAAAAAAAATCAAACATACTAATATAGTTAACAGAAACTTAATTTATATATTTTCTATCCAACATTATAAAAACATGATAATATGATTAAAAATATAATTTTGTTTTTTTTTTTACCATAAACCAATTTAAAAATACCTTAATTGCTAGGAAGAAAAAAACTGCACCAGTATTACTTTCTTTCAAATAAGAGTTCTTCTCAATCAAACAAAAAATTTAACAATTCTTTTCTTTTCTTTTCTTTTTTTAAATATCTAATGAGCGTAATTTTGAGAATATGAAACATTTTAGTCTAACCACAGATGAACTCAGACCTCTATAACAATTTACACATTGAATCCATTATTTATTGCTTGCCATACTAATTTGACAAGAACATAAGATGGAGACAAGCCATAGACAGTACACAGTACAGCACATTCCCTAAGTTACCGTTGACATTGGATTAGAGAATAGGTAGGTAGGTACACAAGGGAGGGACCCTCTTCTAGTGACCGTTGCACCGATTCTTTTCTTTCTTTAAAAAACACGAACATATAAGATTACGAGGAGCCACATTTCTGAAGCTCGTCTTGTGTCTTTAACGGCATTGCAGATGGGCAGTGAGGACTTAGACAAGATTCAAGATTTCCAGTGCCCTTCTCCTCCTCCTTCTTCTTCATTGTCTCTCTGTCTCCCTCACGTTAACTACAGGTCTCTTTCTTGCTCTCGTTTATACTTAGTTATACTTACCTTGTTGGATTCCTATACTTAGTTTGGCTGATGATCAAAAACTTCTTGGAAATCCACGTTGTTTGAATCATCAAGAAACTCAAAATTATATCATGATTGAATTTTATGATTTTCCCGTTGTGGGGGATTGTGTGTGTATATATCTAAGTTTAGGTTTTGATCTTTAAGCAATTTAGGCTGAAACAACCCATTGCCAATTCCCATACACAAATGTTCTTTAAAATGCTGCTGCTGCTGCTTCTGTTATTGAAATGGGTCAAGAATGTTATCAAGAAGATTGTATCTTGGATGCTAGCCTAATTTGCCTTGAAAAGAATTTGAATGCTTGCTGATGACTCAGAAAAACACCAATTAATTTGGCATCTGCTTCTTGTTATTTTCTTTTTTTCTTAAGGTTTAAGTCTTAAGACGTGTTCTTCTTAACTAAACATCACTGAGCAGAAAGTTGCTCCACTCGAGCTTGAAAACAAATTTTGTTTCGTTTTTTAAACAAATATCTTGTAATATGGCTGCTGATTTTTTTACTTTTTTTAGTATTTTTTTTTAATTTTTTTTTACTATTAAAGCAGGAACAGAACAAGTAGCAGAGAGGTATATACTTAAATTCGGTGGTTTTACTTTGTTCTTTTGCAGCTGTGGTTCTTGTGGGTATCAATTAAACTTGAACTCTTGCAATCGAAACATTCCAGTTATAGGAGCTCAGTACAAGAAATCCATAAAGAAAGGAACCATTTCATTCTTTAGCATCGATGAAACCAGATTCACTCAAATTGAAGAACTTCGATGTGCACCTTACTTCACTTCCATGCATTCCTGGGGTTTGTTCCAGCGAAGAACCAAGCTTCTTTGTTACAAATGCGGGAACCATATAGGAAATGCTTATAAAGAGAACAATCCCTCTTCCTCCCCTATGAGATTGGGTAAATGTCGATCAGAGTTAATCACATGGGATGGGATTTCTGATGCCAGAATTTATGTTATCAAGATAAGTTCCTTACAGCCTGCTCCGACCGAGGACTTCAGCATGAGCACCATCTGATGCATGCCTTAAATGTTGAAATCACTAGTTAAGTGTAAGATTCATCTTGCACTAATGAATTATCAGAATATCCTGCATGATTTCTTTGTGGTTCTGGTGTGCCTTGATTAGCATCATCAACACTGTGAAGTGGACAAGAGTGATAGAAAGCTAAGTTGCAGCAATTGTATACTGATATATGGAAGGGATGTTGAACATTTCGTGAGTCTTATTTGTTGTTAAGTTCATGCATACCTGTGTGATATAATAAATTTTGAAGAGAAAAACAAAGGTTTCAGCGGCGACAGTGTTATTGCCTTCTTTGTAGTTACTGGTCCAATTGTTTAGTAACCTAGACATATGTCACTTCCATTTTCCATTGCTAGGTTACCTCATTGTTTCCAGGAAGCAAGAGAAAGGACTTGGTTTCGAGTTTTATCCTCACTACCCTTAAAAAATTGAAAAAATAAAAAACATTCCTGTTTTATCAAAGGAATTCTCTGGCAATGAGGGGCTTTAAAAGAGAGAATGAGAGATGAAGAGAAGATTACATAATCAATCGACCCAATTAATGTCCAAATCTTTAAATTTCATGAGCCATTTTTGTGCATCCTGAGATGCATAAGCGTTTGTTGGAATCTTGTCTTCACCCTCAACATTAGTTCTAGATGATGCCACATCATCAATTTTCTTATCCTTACTAAAATTTGTCTGTCTATTGGGGTGTCTCACCTTGAGCGCCAAAAGACGAGAAACTTCATGAAGTCCTCCCCATTTCTCCAATGCTCGTGCAATGTCATATCGCCCTGCACAAGTTTTGTCTGGTAACTATGATACTGAAAAATATATATATAGAGAGAGAGAGAGAGAGGACAAGAAAAATCATGCCACAGACCTCTAGAATTAGACTCCAGTCTTAATAGGTTAGAAATAATAGCATGCCTACATCGAGTCTGTCGACTGTGTTCATTAAAAGAAAGGAGCTATTTACATTGTGCTGGTTTGTCAGGTTTATAAGCTAATCTTCCATAAAAGCAGGGTTTAGAAGGGCATATGGATAGCTTTTGCGACATCAATGTACAATTGCGTGAACTATTATTATACTTCAACACAACCAAATGCCGGCTTGACGTTAAAGTTTAGGCCTGTATAAGCTACATGTACATTTTGGTTTAGATAGAAGTTCTGAATTCACAAAAGATTCTTTGATGGATATTGCAGTGGCTGTAGATGCAGAGTTTGTTTACTATAAAAGGAAAGATCAGAGGCAGTTCCTAAATTGTATGTGCCATTTACCTAAAATCCATTCAGGATAGTATAATAATATGTTGGTATCAAGAAGGATCCTACAAAGGTATCACGGCAAGAAATTGATCTGTAATTTTACCTGCACGCTCAAAAGATTTTCTACTTGGCATAAATGAAGGGTCCATTCCCCAACTCCGCTGGAATCGATTAATCTGCAAGAAGGAAAACATACATTTTTTAATGTAACTTCAGCAAACGGTTATAATTGTATTGACATAATTGAAGTCTATAACACAAGCTCATATGGATCATTCAATTAAAAAAAAAAAAGCTCACACGTATATATAAAATTTAGCTTTTCTTTGCATCAAATAAGTTAAGACTGTTTGCTTCCAAATGTACGGAAAATCTCAACTCTACAGATACTTTCCCACACGTTCTGACTGTAAGTAAAATAAAACCACATTGAGAGCATTTTATTCAACATTAAGATGGAAAAAGCAACCAAAACTATACTTTCGTATTGTAAGACATACTACACAAACATGCAAATACCCAAAGTTCTTATTTTAAATGTTGAATTCCTACAAAATGTTATTTCTGATGAATAAAGTACTGCTGACAAGTGCGTGATTTTTTGACCTCCAAAGATTTTCGGAACAAGAAGGGAAAGAGGAAAATAATTTTTTTATGAAAAATTCTTCCAAAACTTCTTTTTCGCCCTTTCCTCCTACTGGTATTAGACAAATAGATAGCTTCACTGTGCATAAAGATACAATACTCGAGAATTGAAACACAATCAAAGGTGGAAATGTTGCTAGTGAAACGAACACCAGAATAAAATGAAGATTTATTCTACCTCTTCCTGCAAATTCTCAAAGTTGTCCCAGTATCCCTTTGGTTTACGGTGCTTGTAAGCAAGGGAGAGATTCATCAACGTTGCAATCCTTCTAAATCCACCCATCCGTGTTATGGCCTTCTCAATATCCACTCTACCATGCAAACGGAGCTGCTTTCTCATGGGCATAAATCCTTCCTGCCCATGTTCTGAAATGAATTTCAGAAGCTCGGATTTAAGAACTTCAATATCTCTTTGCAATCCTGGGACCCTAGGTCTTTGTTTAAGTGAATTGGGGTTGTTGTCATCAGGAACCTGCTGAATGACCATACTGTGCTCATAATCACTGTCATCTTTGGATGAATCTAGTTCCTTTGAATATTGTTCAGGTTCATCTGTTTCCAAAGCATTACTGGCTTCCCTTTTCTCGATATGGTCTCGAATTGCACATAAATTTGATGGGAGATCTTCATATATAACCTACGAGAAAAAAGTTCTCTTCTATTAGTATTATTTTGGTATTAACCACTTTCACAACAAAATCTAAAGAAGTACCAGATTTCATGAGATTAGATTTCTACCACTATCCTTTTCTTTTCCTTCAATTTTTTTTCCTAATATCATAAACTCAAAAACCAATTTTCTGATGAAAATTCAATGCCTCCACTGAGATTTGAAGTTTGAACAGTATTCACATATATGTATCCTCTAACCATTAATGCAACTACTATAGAACAATAATGGCACCACCAGATTGATGGCATCAAATAATTCTAGCATTTTCATGAAGCTTCCACAATTCAAGTTTCGAGTAGATTGTGTATCTATGTTATTTCATAAATGAAGCATTCAAAATGAAATATTTACACATAAAATTCTGAAAAGAAAATGAGACGGCTCAATTTCATGAGGAAGTCCAAATTTGCTCCAAACCTAACCAGAAAGTCTACTTTGTGAGCCAAAAAGTACATTGTTCCATAAGGAGAAGCCCTTTAAATCTACGCACTCATAATCATGCCCAGACTAAACCCAGATCTATATATGTCGAAACCATATCCAAAATCTAAATAAACCAAGGGGAGAGCCAAAATACATTTTAAAGTGTCTAAAGCCAGATCGAATATGTTTCCATACCTCTTCCATAATAGCTTCTGAAAGGAATGTATCTTTGTGCATTCTGGACTCGACATTATATTTCAGTAGAGTGTGGTGACTTCCTAATTGCTCTAGAATCCACTTTCCTTGAAATGAATCAAAGTCCCCTTCTACCTGCTCAAAACTGATTTCCTGTTCAAGTTGTTCACATAAATCTAGAACAACACGTGCATGAAGTACCATATATAATAGACCCTTGCATCCTTCCTGCAAAAACAGAAAAATTCTTAAGCATTAAAATTTTGCTTTGTTAAATGTTGGCCTTAAATCTTACATATGTTAACAATCGAAAGCATGAATGGCAGCAGATATTCAAAACAGCTAACACAAAAATGGAAAGAGTAAAGTCCATTAATCTGGTAATCTATGGTTAAATGATCTTCCGAATTGATAACAAGTTATGGTAGTTTCTAATCCCCCATCAGACATTTCATTGCATGCATCCTTTCAACTTGATCCAGGAAGATAGCATGGATAAAGGAGCAGCATCAAGTACAGAAACAAGGCATTAAGATAAACTAACTACTATACTCATCAAAAAGTAAAAGCATTAACTCCTTGATCAAAGGGCCAAAACCCCATTTCTTCGGTTGATATTAGAGATGGGACTTTGGATCCTCAATAAATTTAAATTGGCTTCCAATTCTTGCTTTAGTCAATGAACGTGCAATGGAGCCTTTCTGTAGTTCCAATAAAATAATAACCTGTTACACTGAATGCAAAGGCTAAGAATATGTAAAAGTTACATTTCAACTCTAGAGAGGGGTGTTTCGTATAAGTGAAATAACCAGTGTGTGAGAAGTATTAGACAACTTCCACAAATTTTAAAAAATTAAAAAAATTTGGATTTTTTTTTAGAGATATCTAATATGCCACTGATTAATAAATGCTTCACCCCACTAGAAATAATTGAGCTCACAAAGATGCATTCATTTTCATGTTCACCCCCGCAGATGTGAGGCTTAACTCTGACTTAAGGCCACTCATCCCTTACTAATCTTCATACCCTTTATTAATCAATTTGATTTGGTAGGGATTGACACTTCATAAGTGTGATATATCTACAGCTACAGAACCTATCTAGCCAGAGAAAAATGAAAGGATCTAGTTTAATCCAGGAATAGAAATATCCTGAGAAATAAAGATCCTGCTCTTACCTGAAGAATGCGAACTTTATTGTTTTCTCGAGATAAAATCTTACTGATGGCTAAGTTGGGAACAAACCTGAAAATGAGTAAAAAAAGGAGAGAAATTGAGGATATGGTTATTGAATTTGAAAAGCAAGAAAAGATTAACACGATCTCCTGATTCAAGTTTTACACAAATTTGTAACAGAATGAAAATTACTTTAACAATATGATATGCTCATAGCAAGTCCAGTCCTTTTCTTCCACAAATAGATAACTTCACATCATTCTTTTACACCTTATCTAGCTAAGAACCTCTATCATATTTCTCCTGGAGTTAAGTGAGTGCATCAAATATGTTCATCATAAAGGTGAAGTTACACTGCTGACTGCTGTGATGCATTAGCTATTTTAGTCAATCAAGCTTGTGTTTGTTTACTCAGAAGTGATAAATAGCAAACATAAACCTAATAAAGCTTTGAATGATTTATGACTACAAATCCTAACCAAAAAGGAATAAGTCTTGCTTGATGTTAGAGGGTAATATAAATTATATTCTGGGGTCTCACCAAACAGTTTAAGCTTTCAGGTGAGATGGTCTTTTAATGTGGTATTAGAGCTTGGTTAACCATGTGATCCTGAGTTCAAGTCTCATCATTCCTAGTTTCTCAAGTATTCAGTACAAGGCAATATGGACCTGTGTAGGTTTCAAGCCCACATGTTGGGGCTTTTACTTGAGGGGTGTGTTAGAGAGTAATATAAATTATATTCTGGGGCCTTACCTAACAGTTTAATCTTTTAGATAAGATGTTCCTTTAATAATAGTAATATATCAAGTAAAAGAAGCAACCATTTTAAAAGTTTGCAGGTTCAGATGCTCAATCTATCTTTCAAGAATTGCATGAAGTATTTGATAAGAAAGCATAAAAGACTTACTCGGGAAGACTCTCATAAGCAGTCAAAACATTCCAAACTTCACGAACAGGAGCTTTTACAGTTATGCTAGCGACAACACAGCGATGAACCCCTCCATTTTCCTTCATCCCAAAATCACTTTATCAGCAACTGCTTAAAACAAAAGTGGCTCTCTGGAAGAGGAAAGCCAGGTGACAGTAACCAGAGTAAATCAGTTACCAATAGGCCATCAAATCTGCGCAGATGAACTTCATCCACCATGCATCGCCTATCTAATCTGCAAGCTTTTCCAAGCACTCCCCAATTATTATTTAAATCATTTGAAGGTGGAGGCATGGGACCAAAGGTTGAGCTGGGATAGCTCTCTTTTAAATCTCCAGTTGTCAATTTATCCTTCTCACGAAAAGTACCATCTAAAACTATGCCTGGAGAAGTAGGTACAGTCAAAGATGTCTCACTTTCTGTAATTCCTGCCTTCTGGTTCCCCTCAAAATCTCTCTCTGCCCAACAAGCCAAGGCTCGAAGATTTACAGGAAGATCTGATCCAATAATCCTCTCCAGGAAAATAGCTGGAAAGTTGTATCTTGGCATCACATTAACTTCATATGACAATGTTGTGGTTCCATGACTGCAAATAAACAGCAAAGGTGATGAAGTGAGGAGAAACAGCAAACGGGAAAATTTTTCATGACGGCTGACAATGCACAATTACAGTCTATGACAAGCTAAAACATTAGAAGCAATAAAATATTTACCCAGGACTGAAGACATTCCATCAAAAGGTAATTGTGTTTTCTGAAGTCGTATTCTTTCAATTAGCTTTGATGCCTGATGAATTTTAAGAAAGACACTAGCTTCTTTTCTCTCCTCTTTCTTTGACACTTTCACGATGCCTACTAACCATAGTTACTAGTTATTATTGAATGCAAAATTCTTCTTTCATGTGCTCAACCTTTTACCATAAGAAATCTACCTTAACAACCCAAGAAAACAAGAAATGGTTTTTAGAGCTCTTGGTTTAGAGCATGCATCCATAAAAGAGTCTCAATACAGTTTCTCTGTTCATGTTGTTTCCTCGTGACTTACCCACTGGTTACACAATGGGACACCTATTTTCATATCTTCCACCAGAAACTAATCTTAGAAAATAACAACAGACAGAAACTACTACTACTTTTGACAACAATACACAGCTCAAGAGAAAATGTTAAAGAAAGTCATTTTACCAGTTTGTGTTTAGCTTACTATGGTAAGGAAATTAGCATAAACTTGTAACCATTTGGTTTCAAATCTTTCTTGATTCAAGACATGCACTCCTTAAGCAACAAGCCAACAACCAATCCCCAACTGGAAACAAAAAGAAAATGATGGGTTGCATGACTAAATAAAGCATTTCTAAATATAGAACAGGGATTATGGATGAGAAAAAGAGAAATGCTGTAAAAAGTAAGTTCAATGCTAGATTTCTACATCATGTTTCCAGTCTACCTTGTCCCAGATTTCACTGACCATTTGCCTTCAAACTTCTTAAAATCCCCATCAACCATCGAAAACTGTAGTTCACGATTATTGGCCTGAACCCAAATAGATGATTTATGACAATGAATCTCACATGAAACTTCCACATGCAACAGATAGAATAAAGTATTCATAGTAAACAATAAGATGAAACATCCTCAGATGTTCATGTTAAATAAGAGAAAAGGTAGACCCATGCAGTTTAACTCATGAGCCGACACACCAAGATTCTCCATCACCATGCAAAAGCGGTGAGGTGAATATGTGCCTGAGTTGTAGAAATTTATCTAAAATTTCAAAATGAGAAACAACTACACATATATAAATTACCAAATGACAAAATCATTTGAAATTGCCAGATGAGAAAAACTAAAAAATGCATAATTGATAAATAAATTTAACAATCATTGTCAAGATGAAATTTCCAAAGGAATGCAAGCACAAACCGAATCGTACAGTTTAACTGTGCCATTGAAACAACCAAGAAAATCCACTAGTTCCTTTGTGAGCCATCAAAAGAGATAAGCATTACTACTATAATGTACCAAAAGAAACGGCCTTAGTCTCATAAGTCCAATGAAGAGCTTATGGCATCTTAGAAATTTCATGTACTTGAAGAGACAAAGTAATCGCATCGAGTGAACAACTTTAGAAAACATCCTCAAGTATCGATTTGACACTCAGTAGCAATGGTTATATAGCAAATGCATAGTCTTTCACATCTTACAAGAAGTACAGGATGAAGTAGCAAGAGGTTAAAATACCATATCAGTCACAAAATATAGTAGATGAGAAACATGATGAGCAAAATTCACAATACAATAAATTAAATCATTGCACACATAACAGATTCACACCAAACCAACTCATTGACTAAAATTTCAAAAAGATGAGGGAAAATGCTAGAAAGAAGCTATAAGACTCCAAAATATGCCTCAAATCGCAAAAATGGTACCATGTTTAACGTTTTTTATTTTCTTTTGCTAGTGAGAATAGCGAGGTGACAGCTAACGAGGATTATTCTAAAATGGCAAAGAAAAGTGGCTTACTGAATGGGGAAATTCTTGGAGATCCAAGACAACACGAGCTTCTATATGCCAATAGAGTGCCCTTTGCAATCCTCTCTGCTCTAGCCATATCCTCCCAGGATGTGGACAAGGAATTCTCCCACTGCACAAAATCAATAAAAAACAACAAATTTCTTATCTTACCCATCCCTCTCCATTAACAACAATGTGCATTCAGTCCATTAAATCTCTCCCCTGCAATGCAGGAGTGGTGGGCACTGGGCAGGACTCAATTTCAAACCCTACTCTTTACCTTAACAACCCAAAACACAAAACACCAATGTTGAACAACAATACAGGAACAAAAGCAGGGATACTCAGGTTAACTCCATTCCTGCTCTTCTTAATAACCAAAAATCTCAAAGAAAAGTAACAAGGTTTAATGGCTATAAATGCTTAATATTACCTGCAAACAAGATTGGGGATGAAATCAGCAAGTCGCTCATAATCAGTAAGAGCATTCCAGACTGATTGAATGTCAGCATTGACTAATGTTTGTGCCTTAATTCTTCTTTCCCGCCAAGAAATAACTTCCACTTCACAATAAACCTTTCTCTCCCCTTCTCCTTCCTCTTCTTCTTTTTGGAACTTGTTGGCTCTTTGACTTGCCTTTGCTGTAGAGTGAGCGATTCTGGCGTTCCATTGCTGCCCCTCAGCAAAAGAAGAACATGACACTACTGTGCTTTTACGAGATGTGTACTTCGCCGGCAAACTTGGCAGGTATCTTTTTAGAGGAATTTGATGAGATGGGCTGGTTTCAAAATTGAAGCTTGAAGCTTTGCAAGTGATCATAGAGCGAGTGAGACTGAGAGATTAGAGATTTTCGAGAGAGTGAGAGAGGGAGGGAGAGGGAGGGAGGGAAGAAGACTGAACTCAACAGTTAATCTGTGTCCACTAGATTTTTGAGGAGTTCTGACAGCGACATATGTGATTCAAACTCAAGTGCCAATTTTTGGTTGTGAAAATTCTGGCTAGAAATTGGCCTAGAGGATGCCATCGGGATCGCTACACGTGTTGCATGATTACAATCAAGATGCAGATATAATCGTAGTCCTCATGAAATATCCACAGCAATTGGCCTGTCACTCAGCCAGTGACATTGAAGCTTGTCTAGCCACTGATAAATTGACATGGAGTAAACCAAATTTATGAGTATGTTATTTAACATTATTACTGAATGAATAGTCATAATTAATTATCTATGAATATATTGACCTTATATCTATTCACTTGCCATATGAGTATGTTGACTTTTTGACTGTTATATCAACATATTTGCCCATATGAACTCGTAGGATTGCAGGGCCGCACCATTGAGGCATTGACCATTTCCAAATCATTTTTTCTTTTTTTTCCTTCTCGTACTTGGGCAGTAATCATTTGGATAAAGGTTGAAACGAAGGAAAAATAGCGAAGAACAAAGCAGAATTAAAAACGAAGAGAAGTTAAGACAATGTTAAATGTAACTTCAGTAAATCTCTTAACCTTCCTTTCGGTCGCAAAACTTTCTTGCCAACTCTGTTTCATTTTCATGGTCAGTAGACAAATATCCTATGAACTAAAAAGCTACACAGTTTATGAGGAGTTCTCTAAACAAGCCTACAGAGCCAATATATTTTTCTTCTTACCCCATCCAAAAGCAACTAAAAATAAAGCAAAGCATCCTCCACATGCACCAATCACAGTCTCCCAGAACTGTATTGGTTTCCCATCAAAGAGTTCTATATGAATGTTCATTCCAAACAATCCTACAACCACAATGCCCGCATTGAGTATCAAGTTGGAAGCACCAAGCATCACTCCCATCTGTAACAGCTGATTCTGTTTGTCATCCAACATTATGTTGATGAAGTCCTCTGTGTCGTCCACGTACTCCCGCATCTAAAAGGGAAGAAAATGATTTTGATGTAATTCATTTTTGTAAAAAAAAATTTTAATGTAATTAAACATGACGGAAATATTGAGAGAGATACATGAGGTACGGCTACATACATGGGATAGTTTCTGTAAGATGCCATCTATCTGTGCAAAATAGGCTTCTAAAAGCATCTCCAACTCCTCAATATGTAGCTTAGAGCTAGTGTAGATTTCAGAGTCGTCTCCAGACTTGGAATCATCAACACTGTAGACGAAGTGTGAGTTAGAAAAAGAATCGCAAACCATTAGACTAGTTAACTCGATGACAAAGATACATACCATATAAATTTTATAATAAAAAAATACTAACAGTCTATTTAGACAACAAGAAGAAAACAAAAATGCTTAAGAAATAAATGAAAGAGTATTTGATAGAAAGTACTACAGTAGCAGTAAAAATTTTGAACATAACTTGCCAAATATTTTGAAAATATTAGTTAATATGTCACTAAACCAATTTTGTACCAAAAAAAAAAGGTTAGTTCATTTTATCTCTAAAAGGGAAAAAAAATTGCAATCACTTCGTAATTAAGGTTTCTAAATGATCAAAAGACAACATATCATATAGGCCATATTCATCTCGTTTACACTAATTATGCATAGGTTTCATGCAAATTTTTCATATTTAGAAACACATCAAAATGATAGAATTATAACCTTTCATGATCTATTTCTTGTTCACCATCATATACTTCTTCTATAGAAGGTGTTTGATCTGCTACACGAACATAAATTTTTTCTGTCAAATACATTTCTGCCATATCATTGTCATCATCCAGCAGATGTTCAAGTTCATCTCTCACCTGCAACAAGTTCATAAAATTTCACTACATGGCAGAGAAAGTACGTCAAAAGTATGAAGATGAATGCATATCCAAATACCTTACAGGTTTATACATGCATACACATCATGTCTGTATAGACATATTAATCTGATGTCCTGGTACATTAACTTTTCATGTTTTGTGCCCCTACACATAAAAACATTGTTTCCACACATGGCATGCTTGTACTTAAAGACCTTCTAAGACCCTCCTTGGAGGAACATTTTCCTTCCTAGACTGCTACAGTAAAACAAACTGTAATGCATATTAAGTGCAGAAACAATACTGATGGCAGTCTTTATACATGCTGCAAAATCAGATCATGCATACAAGTCAAGCTATTGCTTTGAAAAATCTTTACTTTTACACGAACCCCTAGGGAATGTAGGAGAACTATCATTTTCAAACCCAGGTTGGTTATAGCCACAGAAACAGCCTTGTTAACCAATTAAATCATTGTCTTCATACTTCAATCTCACAGGGAAAGAAACGATCCAATGCCATCATTATCATGAATGTAGGAGAACTATCATTTTCAAACCCAGGTTGGTTATAGCCACAGAAACAGCCTCGTTAACCAATTAAATCATTGTCTTCATACTTCAATCTCAAAGGGAAAGAAACGATCCAATGCCATCGTTATCATGTTTCAACAAGTCAAGCTATTGCTTCGAAAAATCCTTTCCTTTAACATGAACCCCCAGGGAATGTAGGAGAACTATCATTTTCAAAACCAGGTTGTTTATAGCCACAGAAACAATAGAAACAATCTCGTTAACCAATTAAATCATTGTCTTCATGCTTCAATCTCCAAGGGAAACAAAAGATCCAATGTCATTATTCTCATGTTTCAAAGCAAAATTTTTAAGACCAAATCATGATATGATGACACAAACTTGATTACTGATGCCTACGTAAAAATTCGTGGGATTGAATCATGAAAGCTTTATCGATCTTGTATTTGAGATGCAGCAGCCGGGTATAAAGATGTTAACAGACTTGGTAAATAACATATACATCATACAAAAGCATTCAAAAATGGGCAAATAATTACTACAAAAACTACACTATGGAGATCAAAGAAATTGATGAAAACAGAAAATCTATTGAAAGATTCACCTGATCATATTGCCAATTAACATGCATAGACCATAGCTCATGTATTAACTTGTTTAGTACTGTAACATCAACAGCTCAATTTAAAACTAGTATAGGCACTATTATTCTATAAATTTTCAAACTTCAACTACCAAGAAATTTTACTGTCTACCAGATCTTATTTGCTAATGTCACCTTTTCATTTTAAATAAATTTTGGAGTATTTTACTCCAGTAGCTAGCCTAAAAATCACAAGTGAACAAAAAACTTCCATCACTCAATTTCCTATTAAATTGGATTATCATTCCTTTTTCTTGAACAAAACTATAGATTGCAGTTTCAAAATCCAAACAATAAAATTCACCTAGACACAGATGGATCATGCAGAACAAATAAACAAATCATTTCCATTTTTAAAGCCTATAAAAGACAGCAATGAACAGCAATTGCAGGAAAAAGCAAATATGTAAGGGAGAAAGCAAGTGGTAAAAGGAAGATCATATACACATGACAGAAGGACAGCGTCTAACAAAACGCATCCAGTGGAATTCAAATATTTATTTCAGCACATGTCACATAATGCCAAGTTAAAAAAAAAAAAAAAGTATTCAACAGCTTCAACTATCCAACAACATGTTATCTACCTTCTGCACACGTCCAGATATTGCAACGAGACGACTTTTTATCTGTCTAACACGCTCAAGATTGAGTGTGCTAATATTAGAAGTTAGTTCATCCAAAGCAGGATATGCCTCTTCCTCCAATGTCTCAGTCTGGAAAGAGAGGGAAAGAAGAAGAAAAAGGATGGTACTTCAATTGAGAGATATATAAAAAATGAATATTTGAGATGAAGCTCAGAAGTGAAAAAATATAAAGGCAAAATGGTGTAAATTCACCTTTAATTTATTTATATTACAAATGCAGGCAACCACTATTAACCTACTCCCGTCACAAGTTCAGATGATGAAACAATTGCTGCAGTTCCATAGATAAACAATAGATAAACCAGCTACCTCAGATTCAAGGCACCTGCAAGCAGATTCAAGACAAGCTTCGAGTGCTTTGAACTCAAACGGAAGAACCTTGGGACCAGCAGATACTAGAAGATCCATTGTTGAATTTGCACTTTCACCTGCTATTTCCCTACTCTTCACATCTACAGAATTATAAGTTGGAGATGCAGTGTCAGCTGCATCCCCCATTTCATTGCTGCCATTACCCATTGCCTTTGAGCAGAAAACAAAAAAAGTCGAGTTTAGAAGGTTGTTTTTCATGTTCCCAATATAGGAATCAGTCAATTATGGTTAAAAAGAATCTTCAGTTTCGTTTTTCTTTAACTCCCCTATGTTACATACAATCAGTACTTAATAGTATCATATCAGAAACATAACCTCAGCAATTTTGTATTCAATAGCAGCTATAAACCCTTGTATCTTCTCCAGCGAATGAAGCAATAAGTAAATGAATGAAAAATACTACTATAAGAATAAAAAAGAACAGAGATTTATCACTTCCCTCTGGCATTCAAGTAGGGTCTACAAGTAATTTTCAAAGGTAGGTCTCGCATTTAGAAATATGTGGCAAAGAACTATTCGCACAAAACAGCATTATTCTTACCTGTTTTTTTTTTTTCCTTGATAAACCTAAAAAACTACTCCTATATACAAAAATAATTTTTCCAGAAAAACAAAATACAGACATTATACAAACAAGACACACCTGTTGTGGGGGCGTAGCATTAACATTGCCAAAAGCAATACGATGTTGAAGATCCTCAACAAACTGAACAATCAAAGGATTATTAGAATTAATCATAAGCACTTCTGTCGCTGTAATAATAGCTCTAATATGCTCCAAGTTCACAACAATAGCCCTTTCTCTTCCCAAAATCGACGACGGATATGATAGCACCGGATCCAATGCTCTCAAATCTCGAGCAGGCAATCCAGTCCTCTTCATTATCGAATGCTTCCCGACTTCCTCTACAAACGATTGACCTGATTCTGATATCACTAGCCATGCCTTCACCCCTATCGTGCCTTTCTTTAATTTCGTAGCCATGGTGGCCGGTACTTGGGCTTTACCGATGTTTGGTTGCAGAGAAAGTTGAGAGAGAAAAGAAAATTAGGAAAGCATGATTGAGACAGAGATTCCGACAAGTCAGCTAGGAAATTTCATACCAGAGCTGTTTACAGTTCTTTAAAAAGCAAATTTGATTTCTACAACCAATAAAAACGAGACACCTCATCAATATATGCTAACTAACCCTTATAATATTGGGTTACACATTTGTTTCATACTTCATCAAATAATTATAACAAATTACTATTTTAAAACCATTGATGATAATTTTCAAAGTAATAATAAAAAAAAGATGATGATGATGATGATGATGATTAATGGGGCAGTAAAACCTAGGTGATTTTCTAGAGAAGTAATTCTAAAATAAGAATAGATTATTATTCAAAAAAAAATATTACACGAACCTGATTCATCTTCTTCTTTCTGTCTTCTCTTTCTTCTTTTTTGGAGCTTCTCGGCACTTTAACTTGTCAAGGGGTTCTTCCATTTGTTGCCTTCAATTGATGAACAAGAAGAACATGAGACCACTGTGCTTTGATGAGGATGGCTGGAGCCTGTATGCGTAAAATTAGCTTGTAAACTTGGTTGGTATAATTTTAGAGTGATTTGGTGTGATGGGTTGGCTTCAAAACTGAAACTTGAAGCTTTGCAATTCATTATGGAAAGTGTCAGACTGAGAGATTGCAGAGAAAAGGAAGACGGGAGTCTGAAAAGAAGTTTAAACACAGTTAACTTGTGTCCACTAGGACCATTACATTTTAGAGAGTTTTGTCGTGTAATGAAAAGGCCTTGTGCGGTCGCGACACGTGTTAAGTTATTAGCAAGGCCAAATGTATAATCAATTGGGTTTTTTTTCCTCATTACTTTTTTTTCTTTCCTATTTCAGCGGATCCCTCGAGTATTACCATTTAGTCAAATTGAACTCTCTACTTTCAATTTATCCATGATGACGTGTTTTGGCTTGGAGATTGGATGGGGTCATAGTAGTTGATAGGAAAAATGTATCTGATTAAAAGTGACAGTTAGACAATGCAGTTAGGAATAAAATTACAAAAAATATATGTATATCAATTATTTTGAATTTTTACTTTGATGATAAAATGTGTCTTGATAAAATTATGGTTAAAGGATTTTTTTAAAAGTAGAATGAAATATATAATTAATAAAATAATTTATCGTTGTAAAATATCGTTTTTTACACTATATATGTAATTATGTATACACACAAAATATAATTACGCTATATATGTAATTATATATACACATGATATATATACCTTGCGTATGTATATATGTACTTTCTTTACCATCCTAGATAGCATTATGAAATTAATTAATAAAATAATTTTATAGTATATATTCTATTTAGGATAAATAGGTCAATATGTTATTGTATAATAACACGAGTTTTCAATTTATATCTAAGTTTGTAATTAAATTTATTATGTTTTTTACTATTATTTATTTATTTTAGTCTCAATTTTTCTCTTCGATCAATTTTTTTCAACCATTGGCAAATAATTTTTTTTTTACTCAAATGCCCTTAATTCAAATAAAAAAAATAAAAAAATAGAAACTCAATCAAAAGAACATTTTAATTAGGAGTATTTCGATTAAAAAAAGTGTCTATTATTGAAAAAATAGATTGAAAAAATATATTAGAAACTCAAATTATTATATAAAAACACAGATCGAGCTATTTATATTTATATTTATATACAATTTTTACAACAAAAAAAATTATTACCATAAGATAATCTTTTATGAGAAAGGATGAATAAGGCACTTCTAAGAATTTTAAAACAGAAAAGGATATAATGATTATTTACGATTATACTATTAAAGATCAATTTGCAAAAGTCAAAGAAACTCTAATTAGAAACTTCTCCGCTTGACAATTTTCGAATAGGGAAGCGCTAACGCAAGCCTTTATGTATAGCTTTTTTATTACCAAATCTCTGAAGCTGTAACTGGCAAACGCACGCACCCCAAATATCAAACAGGTTTAAGTCTCTCCCTCACGTATCTGTACGTTATGTGAGACAGCCATTGAATAGGCATGAACTGAATGGAGTGACTCAACTTCCTTGTAGACTGGCAGTGAGAGTTTCAATTTGAGCAAAAAATAATGTAAAGAGCTTAATTTGGCTAAAAAAGGAAACTTGAGGGACAACATGGGTGACATTTATCCTTTGAGCAGTAGATGGTTGAAAACGGTGGCATTGAAGAGGAAGAAAATAACAATGAAGAAGAGTGCAGCAGAACTGAAGAATATAAAACAAATGAAAAGACTGGCATTGCATGAAATTTCTTAACTTCCAGACCAGTAGTTAATTTTTCTACCACTGCAATTACCTATAGTCCATCCACAGCGAAAGAGATATAGTGTGGGAGGAGTTTGGGAAACAAGTTTACAGAGCCAATATATTTGCTTTCTTACCCCACCCTAAAACAACTAGAAATAAAGCAACACAACCTCCACAAGAACCAATGACAGTCTCCCAGAATTGTATTGGTTTCCCATCAAAGAGTTCTATATGAATGTTCATTCCAAACAATCCTACAATCACAATACCTGCATTGAGTATCATGTTTGCAGCACTGAGGATCACTCCCGTCTGTAGCAGCTGATTTTGTTTGTCATCCAACATGATGTTGATGAAGTCCTCTGTGTCATCCACATATTCACTCATCTGGAAAACAGGAAAAAAATCAAATGATTTTTTGATGTAGTTAATTTTTTGTAAGAGTTTCTCTGTTATCCAACTCTTCACAATTTACCAAGGAGAATCACAATGGAAACTTTCCAACTCTTTTAACATACATCGGATAGTTTCTGTAAGATGCCGTCTGTTTGTGCAAAATATGCTTCCAAAAGCATCTCCAACTCCTCAATATCTGGCTCAACGCTAGTGTTGATTTCAGAGCAGTCTCCAGTCTTGTGATCATCAACACTGAAGGTGAATTTATTAGAGCAAATTACATAGCACAAGACAAGTTAAAAACTGCTTTCACAAGCAGTAATAGACGTCCATCGGTTCTAATCAAGCATTTTGTACTCACAACCTTGTTGATTGTATTATAACTCGATCACACTAGATGTTCACATCTCTAATTAAAAAGTGCTATGTAATGAAGCTAAGAGCTTAACGGTAAAGACACTGATTTCCAAATAACTGAGGATACGGGGAAAAGACTACAGAAAGAGTTACCACTATAGTTTACTTATGAACACCAGTTACACCCTTTTTTTTATAAGAAAATGAAAGAAGATTAGCTGGGAAGAAAATATTTGATAGGGAAGAGTTAGCATTTGTATTTTGCAATTGTTGAAGGATGAAACATAATGGAGACCTTAATGCATGATATGCGTACATGTTGACTAGCATAGTCCATACGCGGCTAGTTTTACAATAATTAGACAGGTTTCATGCAAAATTACAAAGGTTTTGAGCAAACAAAACACCACAGCCATGGGATTAGAAAGAACCTCTCATCATCTACTTCATGTTTACCAACATAAACTTCCTCTGTGGTAGAAATTTGATCCACAGCACGAGCAGCAACTTTTTCTGTCAAATACATTTCTTCCATATCATTGTCATCATCCAGCAGATGTTCAAGTTCATCCCTCACCTGCAATAAAAAAGCTCATAAATTTTCAACGTAGGTTAAGGAAGTCAAACCTATGAAATTGATAATATATCCAGGTACTTCAAGGGTGTATACACACAGACATATAACCATGCATGTATAGGAATATCAATCTGATGTGTCCTGGTATGTTTTTTTCTTCAGGTTCTGTCTCATGGCATGAGATCGGAGTTTGATTCTACACATGGCATGCTAGTGAAAAAAGACATTTTACAGAGCCTCCTTGGAGGAAATATTTTCCTTCTAGACACACCATGGGGAAAAAATTGTGATATGTAGACTCTAAAGGTCAGAACCAGTACTGGTGATATTCTTCAACGTGCTGCAAAATCAGATGTTGCATACAAGTGGAACTCATAAATCCAAAATTTATGTCTTTCTACAAAACAAACAATGAAATATAGGGAGCTAAAACCTAACCTAGTCTGGTTGCTGCTACAGAAAAAGCCTCATTGACTAGTTAAATCATTATCTTCGTGATTCAACCTCATTAGAAAAAAAAAAAAATGGAAAGATCCAGCGTATGAAAACTGCTCAATAATTACAGAACCTGAAGAAACCTTAATCATGTATTTGAGACAATGCAGCAGAGTATATATGAAGACAGCATATGAAAACTGTTCAATAATTACAGTGAAAACTAACTTTTTTTCTTCATCTACCATAAACCGTCAAATTAGAAACTAAAATAATTCTCAAAAAAAAAAAAAAAAAAATTTGGATCTTAACTTTGAAAACCTGAAATGTGACCAGCCAATAAATTTGCAACCTGTCAGATCTGCTTCGCTTATGCCACCTTTTTAATTCTGAATAATTTATTTTTAAATAAAGTTTTGAATTTGTTAGACCCAGTAGTTTGCCTAAAATTAAAATAATAATAATAATTAAAAAAAAAAAACCTCACACCTCTAATTTCTTGAAGATTAATTTATGAATAAATACCTTATCTGGAACAAAACCATTGAATGCGTTTCCAAAATCCAAACAATAGAATTACCTAGAGACAATGTGTGGCACTGGCAGATGAATCATGAAGAAAAAATAGACAGAGAATGTTTCTTTATTATATCCTGTATAAAACAACAATGAGCGGAAACCCAAGGCAAAAACAAACATGCAGCCGAGAGAGCATACGTACAGGAAGATCATATAAACAGGATAGAAAGATGACATCCAATAAAATGCATCCAGTGCAATTCACAAGCTTATTGTAGCATACTGAACATAATTCTAAGGAAAAAAGATATTTTAATGGCCCAAGAGCATGTGCCTACCTTCTGAACTCGACCAGATAATGCAACAAGACGACTTTTAATCTGTCTAACATGTTCAAGATTGAGTGTGCTGATTTTAGAAGTCAGCTCATCCAAAGCAGGATATGCCTCTTCCTCCAATGTCCGAGTCTGAAAAAAAAAAGCCACTTCAAACATAAGGCCAGAATGGAAAGAATAAGAAATGATCTTCACTTCAGGAGACACTACAGATTATTTTTAACAATTCTTATTGGCTAGGGCCTTAGCTTGGATAATTAAAGTAAAAGCAAAAGCTGTTAAGAAGAAATTCATTTAGCAGAGATTTATCTTGCAATTGAGTGCGTTTTCTCAGACGTCCATTAAGTCACAAATCCTTAATTTAATTTTTAACAATTCGGATGATGAAATACTAATGCTGATTGATAATAGATAACCATGTACCTCAGATTCAAGGCACCTGCAAGCAGATTCAAGACAAGCTTCAAGCGCTTTGAACTCAAAAGGAAGCACCTTGGGACATGCAGCTACTGGAACATTTATTGTTGAATTCGCACCCTCACCCTCTATTTCCTGATTTTTCATATCTACGGAATTATAAGTTAGAGCTCTCCTCTTGGTTAAGTTTTTAGCTGAAAGATGATGTGTATTTAATGAGGATGAACCCCATGTAGCCCCAGCTGTCTCCTCCATTTCACTGCCACTATGATCCGTTGCCTTGGAACAGAAGACAATGAGTTGTGTTAGTTTAGAAGTTTGCTTTGCGTCACCTAAAACAGAACAGGTCAGTCGTGCTAAAAGAGCATGAGTTTCATTTTCTTGTAATTTCTTGTCTGCGAATTACATACTAATGCTTTAAAATTTATTATCAAAGAATAATTCCAGCAATTTATATATATTTAATAGCAGGGAAAAACCAATCTACCTACTGTAGAATACAAAGCTCATGAATTGGAAGTAGTTCTTTCATGCATACTGTTAGCTATAACTCACAGTCTTGGCAAGCTAACAAATACCAAACAACAGTCTAAATCAATCTCCATGGAAACTGAAAAGCACCACGCAGGCAGACAATTTGACTAACCTCCCAAAGCTCAATAAATTAAATTTTATTAGAGTGTTAGCAGGAACAGAATATTTGAAACGGATCAGATTCCCTTCAAACCCCTATTTATTTATGTTTCAACAAGTAATATGAGAAATAGGCATAACTTTTGAGAGGAAAACCATCTTTATCCTCAGTTATGGCACCACCGAAGCGGAAGCATAAAAAAGAAATATTTTACCCTTCAAGCTACATTACGCAAATTGTATTTTCAAATTCTGCAATTTACAGCCAAGCAATAAGGATGAGTACATTAAATAAAAATCCTACTCCTAACATTCATGTGGCGCCAGCATAAAAAGTGGATTCCACATGAATGTGAGATGAGAGATGTTATTCAAGCATCATCAAATAATTGGATAAATAAATTTCTCATGAAAGCCAACTTTCTAGTTTTGCTAATTTAAGGAAATCTTTCCTCGAATCGCTCTTGGAAATATCAAAACAATAACCATGGTATTCTGTGAGATTCACAAACAAGATTCACTTAATCCTTCCCATTAGTGGTATATTTCATAAAATGATTTTGGGAAGAATTTTTCAGTAAAAATAACATCTTTTTTTTTTAACTCTCCCACAACAAAAAACAGAAAAAGAATTGGATACCATAATAAAACCTTAAATCCACACACCTGTTGTGGAGGAATGACATTAGTATTATCAAAAACAATACGATGTTGAAGATCCTGAACAAACTGAGCCACCAAAGGATTATTAAAATTAATCAAAAGCACTTCCTTGGCAGTAATAATAGCCCTAATGTGTTCCAAATTCACAACAATAGCTCTATCTCGTCCCAAAATCGATGACGGATACGATAGCACCGGATCCAATGCTCTCAAATCTCGTGCAGGCAATCCAGTTCTCTTCATTATCGATTGCTTCCCTATTTCCTCGATAAAGGATTCGCCTGATTCTGATATCACTAGCCATGCCCTTACTACTAACATTCCTTTCTTTAATTTTGTAGCCATCGGTGATGAATAATTCTTGCTGCTAATCAATTAGCACTTGATTGCAATTTAGGGTTTTTATTTTTTGTTGTAGTAGATTTGGTAAAACTGAAACGGAACCTAAAAGGGTTTTCGAAGGAAGGAGAATGTTTCTGCTTCTTTTTTCACCCAATTTAAACTTTAACGCTTATTGCCGCCAAATTAGGTCGAGGAGGATGACGTGGCTAACTGAATTTCAAAATGGACCTGGAGATATTATGGGCTGGAGTTTGAACTGACAAATATGAGATATTTACAATGTTATGGGCTTTTAAAAAGCCCAGGGCTTTTCTGCTGTGCTTCTTATGGGCTTCTTAGTGATGATAATTTTCTTACAAACTTACTGTTTAGTCACTGCTGTGCTTCTTATGGGCTTCTTAGTGATGATAATTTTCTTACAAACTTACTGTTTCGTCATGGTAATGGTTAATTGCGTAATGCTTGCTTCTTAATAGTTGAATGAATTTTATCAATTTTATCATCACAGTAATTACATGAAGATTGTGAATTAGGATGGACATTGAAAACGTAGGTTGAATCTTGAATTTAGTGCTTTAAATTAAAAGATTACTAAAAGATTAAAAGTAATAATAATAAAAAAAATTACGAATAATGTATCATGTTTTAAAGTGCAGCTCGGTTATAGATATTACTAGTATAACCGTTTTTGTTTATTTCTAAAGGTTTTTTAAAATATTTTATATTAGGGGGTGTTTGATGACCTATTTAAGTAGCTTAAAAAATTAAGTTAAGCTATTTAATATAAAATGTTTGTTTGATAACTTAAATAATCTCATATTAAAAATTTAAGTTCATTCAAAATCTACTTAATGAGATAATTTAAAATTTTTAACTTATTACTTTTTTATTAATACGCTCGCTTGAAAATTTTTTTAAATTTTTCAATATGACTATATTGCTCTTATATATTTTTATAACTTTAGATATACAAACCAACCGAAAAACAATCTCTATTTTCGTCATTGTTAAAACAGAGTAAATCTTCTCCATTATTCATTATCAGCGCTTTCATCTCATTATCATCAATAACATGACTCTTCCTCTCCTCCACAACAGAGCTTAGGTGATTGAGACAACCCATCTTTGTCGGTATTAGTAACTTTAGAAGATAAATTCGTAACAAATACAACATTTCAGGAGAAAAAAAAACCCCAATTAGCATAGCCAACATGAAAACTCAATTAGCAAAAGCCACCATGAATGACAACAGAGAAACCCCTATTAGCCCCGTACACAAAGCCCATATGATTTGTTTTATAACAAGGGTGATTCTAGCAAGTGTCGAGTAATGGCAATTTATAAATGCACGAGAGTAGTGAAGTCCGTAGTTTGAGATTTTTATTTGGTGAACTAGAACAGACATATCTAAGGTAAGGTTTACAATAAATACTAGAGTATTAACCAACATGTCATTTCAAGATGAAAAGACTTAGGACTAGTAGTGGAAGAAGTTGCCATGCCTAGATCATATATGCTATCATTGTACTAAATGCAACTGGAAAGTCTCGTCGACATGAATGCATTTGGTGACAAAAAACCAACCTTATGAATCTTGAAGGACGTAAGAAATTATTATAATAACGAAGTAATCTGTTAAATAATAATATTTATTATAATAACAATCCGATTTTGTAATTGTATTTTCTAGAATTGATACAACGTTTTAGGCATTTTGCAAGTCGTCCAAGTTAAGATAGGCAAACTCATGAGCCCGGACTAAGATGTCTTATGCAATACAATATCATGATTCACAACTAGTTAAGACTTTTACCAATAAATGGGTGCCTAATATCGGGTAGAAGTTATGACTTTAATGATACATCCCGATAATTATAAATGAGTCGGCCTATAAACTTATTTATTTATTTATTTATACACATAAATACATTTATATTTTTTTATTTGTATTGAAAAATATAATGTTACAATTATAAGGTTAAAATTGTCATATATATAGCTTTAATACGTTCAAGCAACAATATTTATCAAACAATCTTATTATATTCAACACTTAATTTTCGATAAATACCAAACAACTTGTCAATAATATTTTCAGTATTTAAAATTTAGTACTTAATAGATTCAAGCACTTAATTTTCAGTTTTATTAAACACCACCTTACTTTTTTATTGAAACAAAACACATTATGCAATTCTTGGTAAACAAATAATGAAATATGTTGATGCTTGATCATTAATGATTTCGAGAAAATAAATTATTATCTATAATAAGACAAACATATATGCTACAACAAGGTAAACATATATGCTAAATTAGCATAATAGAAAAACTCGAGCTTATTTAAAGTCTATAAAATCTCTAAATATCTCATATTTGTTGATCCAAATTCTAGCCCATAATATCTCCGGATCCATTTTGAAATTCAATTAGTCACATCATTCTCCCTTATTTAATTTGGTGCTAATATGCATTTAAGTTTTAATTGGGTAAAACGAAAAAAAAATTATCTTTTCTTTAAAATCCTTCTAGATTTACCCAAGAGAATTGACTTGAGTAGAAAGGACTCTAGTTACTTAAATAAGTGGTTTCGATTTAAATCCTTTTGTATGCAAAAAACACCGTGAGAAAATATCATCATCTTATGTGTTTAATAGAATAACGAGGGATTAGTCTCGGATCTTTGAACTTAAGATACCCTAGAGGATCTAAAAAAAAAACTTCTAGATTTTGTTTTAGGTTTACCAAACCCACTACACCAAAAAATAAAATTAATTAATTAATTAATTAATTAAATTGTAATTAAATATTAATTGATTAGCAACGAAGAATCATTCATCAACGATGGCTACAAAATTAAAGAAAAGAATGTTAGTAGCAAAGACATTACTAGTGATATCGAATCAAGCCACTCCTTTATCGAGGAAATAGGAAGCAATCGATAATGAAAAGAACCGGATTGCTCGCACAAGATTTGAAGCATTAAATCCGATGCTATCATATCCGTCATCGATTTTAGGAAAAGATAGAGCTATTATTGTGAATTTGGAACACATTAGGGCTATTACTACCGCTACGGAAGTGCTTTTGATTAATTTTAATAATCCTTTGGTGGCTCTAGTTTGTTAAAATTTAACAACTTAAATACTCTTTCTATTGTTATTGCCAAAAAGTGCTTTCGCTTGTCTCTCACTCCCGATTTTTTTCGACAATCACATTTGTTATAAATAGAGGAATATTACATAAGACAAATCACATTTATTCTATTTTTAAAATTTTACAATTTTAAGAGAAAATTCTCTAAAAAGAAATTTTATGAATGTTGTTTGTAATTCCTTAAGTGGGAAATTTGAATTTTAGAAGTGAATTGTCAAAATCTCTACAAGTATTATAATGGAAAGAAAAAAACAATGTGAAAAAAATTTTACATGCAATTAAACACTAGGATATTCTATTTTTATCTTCAATTTACAATTCTTAAGTATCAACATCATTCACATTATGACCTATTAATGGCACAATTTTGCTATAATCTTCACTAATACCTCCATCTTCCCCGGCAATCTCTTTCACCTTTTGAGACTTAGCTAGTTGGAGTTAAAAATTCCCTCAACATTTCATCCTACTCATCACTACTTCATTTTCCCGGCTCAAATTCATCATCCGATCTTTCACCATTAGCATTGGTGAAGGAGGGCTTAATAGCCTAGAGCAATTGACCAAGAATGATGGTTTAGGAACAAGTCCGGATAAGCCGGCTTTCAACCATAATCCAAATTGACTCCGAAACCTTTTGCCCAACTTTTCATCCCCCATTCTCTTTATGCAACTCGCTAGAGTCATGGCCAAGTAATCCACAATGAAGCCAAAAAAAGAAGCAATCTTTCATACTTAAAAGCATAGCTTTAAATAACGATCGTAGTTGCAATAACAATAACGGATTGTGATAATGGATGTGAATTTTAACTCGTTGTAGCCTATCATTATTGTAAATTATTTAGTAATTTTCATAATATATGTTAATTTGATAGTTTTATGAAGTAAACATATAACATTTTTTAGTTATATATGTACACACACCATTATAATTCAATAATAATGGAACTATTAAAAATTAAATTTTAATTTAACTTAAGTTTCAAATTATGGTTCATAAATGTTATAAAAAAAATTATAATTTAGTTATTAGTTGCTAGAGTGGAAGAAAAATTGACTTATAAGTTTTTTTTTGTGCAATAAAAAAAACATTATTAATTTTTTAAAAAATTATACAAAGTAAAAGAAAGTAAATAAAAAAATAAAAATCCAAAACTAGGCTCAATAATATCACTTAAAAAAAATATAAAAAAACATAAGTCCAATTAAAATGGTATAAGAAATAGTAGGTCTAGCAAGTCATTTAAAAATATGGATCTGGCCCAAAATATTCAAATACTAGGTATAAGTCAAATACTAATATCTCTAAAGTCTAAACCTAAATCCATTTCATGCCGCCTCTCATGTAGTCTCTTCTTCTTTGTCATACATCTTATCGTCTCTTTTTTTGTTTTCTCGCAACATCGGTTCATCTTTTTTTTCCTTCTTTTTTGTGCCTTTCTATATTGAAAACAATATCCTTAATCTTCCTTCGTCAAAAATTGATTCTCCCTTTCAAAATTTTTTCTTGATGTTTCAATTAAATGTAACGTAAAATTGAACCATAAATCTAAACATCAATGGAAGATAATGCTATTTTCTTTTTATGGAAAATGAGTATAACAATCGTTATTTGAGTGAATCATTAATATTTTAGTTTAGCATTGAAAAATAGTAATGGCTACTATCAATTCCATTATATAATGATCGTTATGCTACGTAACGATCGTTTTTTAAAACTATGGGTCCAATAGGCCATTTAAAAGTATGGATCCGGCCCAAAATATTAAAACACTAGGTATAAGTAAAATATCTTTAAATTCTAAACTCAAATCCACTTCATGCCACCTCCCTTTGTAGTCTTTTCTTTTTCCTCATACATCTTGTCGCCTCTTCTTCTCGTTTTTTACGAGTACCAAGTTCATCTTTCTTGCTTCTTCTTTTTTTTTTTTTTTTTTTTTTTTTTGCCTTTCTATATTGAAAACAACATCCTTAATCTTCTTTCATAAAAAAAATCAATTCGTGCTCTCAAATATTTTTTTTTTATGTTTCAATTAAATGTGACTCGAAAATTAGAACATAAATCTAAACATCGATAAAAGATAACATTCTTTTTTCCGATAGAAAATGAGTATAACGGCCATTAACATTATATAATGATACAAAGGTTGCTATCTTTGTGAATTGTCAATATTTTAGTTTAACATCGAAAAATCATAACGGCTAGCTATTGCCAATTTCGCTATACAACGTAGCTTAACAGCTTGTTTTTTAAAAATATGCTCGAAAGTAACCTATAACTTAGTGCTAGGATTAAGAACCATTTTAATTCCCCTCCTCAATGGCTTCTCCATCGGCAAGGCTACCCGAAATTGAACTAACTTCCATTGATCCATCTCCAAATTCCATCCATCCATCTCTATAACTTGACCAATTGTAGAACCTAACTTCTCGACCACCGATTCAATAATGCATTCCAATGGAAGACCCCGTGTTTGAACCAAAAAGGAGCATGGGTGAATTGAATATGACCAGCTTGCATTCCCGGCACCTATTTTCGTAGTAATATGAGTTGATTATCAAAATTCCATGGCTAGCAATCCATAACCGTCTTGATAATATAGTCATTTGCAAAGAAAAATTGAAACGATTGCTCCCAATCTTCACGATTCTTACTTCATTATCCACTCCTCATGAATAAGGGTGAGCAAACAATTTTTCGGTTCGGTTTTTAATTATTTCGGTTCGATTTTTAGTTAATCGAACATAAAAAATTACAACCGAACCAAATCAACTAACAATTCGATAGATAAATTTCGGTTTCAAATTATTTCGGTTTTTATTTTTGATTTTTTGATATTAACCGAAATTATCAACAATACTACACTTATCCAAAAGGAAAGTTAGAAAATGAAACCGAGAGTTCAAGTTCACCATCCCACGACCTATAATATTTATAAATATTTTTAAACTCATATATGAGTTCTTTTTCGATGTGGGATGATTTCAAATCTATTAGTTTTGGTTAGTGAGATGGGTTATTTATAGACCTTTTCAAGTCTCAAAAGCATGTTTTTTTTTTTTTATGTGGGATAGTGAACTCATCCTTTGAGCTTCCCTCTATCCCACATCGCTTAGTTTAGCTTTTGGAGAGTGGGGAATAGGTTATAAATTAAGCTTGACTTGTCCTCTTTTACTTGTGGGTTGTGATCCGTGTGGGCCTTGTCCTTTAAAGTTCATGACATTTTATGGGTTGAAGTTTGAATTTGTAAGAGTCAAGTGAAAACCCAAAAGCTCAATTTTAGTTAAATTTTATTTTTAAGCTTATTTTAATTTATATAAAATATAATTAGGTGAGGTTTTCGATTTTCGGTGAAAATCGTTTAAATTTTTAAAAACCGAAACCGAAATCGAAAAGTGATCAAATTTCGATTCGGTTTTTTTTAATAAATTAAAATGAAAAAACGAACCAAATTAGGTATTTCGATTCGGTTGTATTCGATTTTTGGTTAACCAAACCGTTTGCTCACCCCTACTCATGAAGCACAAATCAATCTCATCAAAGTGCTTGTTAATAGTTCTTCGCTGTGAGAACCTTCACACCAAGACTACATTGACAGATTTCCAAGGAAGCAACGAAACTCCCATAGCCCACTTCCATCTGCTACCTCCTCTTCCTCCCCGGTAAGGATAAAACTTTCCAATCCATTGACAATTTCCTCTTCCATCATAAAACAAAAGGTGATTGAAGATAGAAAAAATAGAAGGAAATTAGTAACGGACCGAGTTCAAAGAAGAAATAGAGATGTAGAGTGAAACAAAACTCATCGGATCTAAATATGTTACTGATAAAAGCATAAGAAGAAAAGAAATATCTAGATCTAGGGTTGAAAAATGATAAGATGGCAATTCGAAAGTAAAAAGTAGGATATGGTTGTTGGACAAACCAGAGACAAAAGTCTTTAATTTTACAAACCTACTCGTTTAGTCATGGTAATTGGTAATGCTTCAAATTTGTGGTGGAGTTTTACACTAAACAAAATTTTCATCCATGTGATTGCCAAGTAAAGCTAATGCTCAATCCAAAGAGGATTATGTATCATACAACTCGGTTATAGATCTTACTAACATAATTGTTTTTGTGTATTTTTGATTTTTTTTAAAAATATTTTATACCACTATTTTATTGGAACAAAATACACTATCCATTAGTAGAAATTTTATAATATTCATAGAGTAACTAGTGACATGTACGATAATTATTTCAACGATTCACTTCAAGGAGAAAGATAAAGAGAATTATATTCGGATTCACCAAAAGTAATAAGAACATTTCTACGTTAGTTTTTTTTTTTTCTCTCATTTTTTTTTGTTTATCTCTTACTTCAAAATAAATTCATAAAATAACTATCGTATATGTCACTAGTTAATCCTTTACTATTATAAATTTCTCATTAGAGCATGGGAAACTAACTAAATAAATAAATAATGAAATATGTCTCTATTAAGGCAAACGTATCTGGCAAATTTTAACCCTCCTGTAGTCTTCCTCTCTGGGTGGATTCCATATGTAAATGTCATACGAAATCATCATATGGAATTCCACTAACTGTTGACGAGATTTTTGGTAACTCATCCCGATTCTCTTTCTCGTCTCATCCCCTAATTCCCGTTAGCTTGAGATCTAGAATCTAGCCAGCAAAGCCAGACGCACCAAAGATTCAAAACGCCAATAAAATAGAACACAATCACCAAAAAGTCCAAAAACACCATGTATTCGGATAATCCCCCAATTCAGCACTTGTATTTGTGTCAATTGGCAAATAAGCCTCCATAATAGGTTTCATCATATTTACCATTGAATTCATCACATTTCATCAATTCAACACTATTGGACGGAATTGAAAACAATACAGTCTCACCCTATGGGTAAAGGCCTCACAATTTCCTTAAACGTTAGTCCAATTTGGTTAAAAATGACGAAATATGACAAATATCCGGTAAATTAGATAATTGTTTTGAATAAGGGCTGTCGAATGAAATTTACAAAAATAAAGGACTAAATTGAGGTTTCTTCCTGCAAATTTCAACAAAACCCACTAGTAAGCACAATCACATAATTTGTCAGCGTCCACGACGTTTCCAACCCGCGTTTTTTGCGCATTAAAAATCCCGCCCGCCCATTCCTTCGGTGTCTACAAACTGCTTTAAAAGAAATTTTAAAAAAGGAAAACTCAACACCTTTACTTCTTCAAAATCTCCTTTTCTTTCCCTTTTCTTTTCTCTCAAGAAACCTGAAACTCTCTCTCTCAAAAATCAAAATCCCGATCGATCTCCTTTTCTAGGGTTTATGATCTTCTCCTCCACTTTGAATTACCAGGTCACATTTTTTTGTGAATCTACCTTTTAAATTCTAATTACCAGATCCGATTCGCTAATTATGCTCTAATATTCTCTATTTATTTTAATTTTGCTCAGTTTTTGCATGTTTTGATAATAATTTGCTTATTGATCTTGTTTAATTATTATGATTGTTTAGGATTCTGAAAGGAAATTGGAAATCCGAAGAAGTGAAAATCCTTTTTGATGAGAATTGCTATTGCTGAATTGATTGATGGTGCTGTGAAATTAGGGTTTTGGAAATGATTGGATTGGGAATTTCGCTTGCACGGGTGCTTACAAGCTCTAATGATTATTATGGTGGATCTTTTATTGCCTGGTTAATTACTGCTGCTTTAGGTTTTTTAGCTATTGTTTTTGGATTTATTAAATGGCATAAAAGAGCATCTCAGAAATGGGTTAAAGCTTCGGCTAAAGCAAAGAAGCAAGTTTGGAAAAAGTTAAATGTTCCACGGTCTAGTCATTTATGGATTGAAGATTTAGCTTATGGTAAAAAGCAGCCGTCTACATGTTGTGTTTGTTTGACTTCGTTGGTGATACCTTATAATGGAAATAGTGCGTTGTTGTGTGGTGATTTTGTGCACCGTTGTGTTGTTTGTGGTGCGGCAGCTCATTTTTATTGTTCGGAGTTTGCGGTGAAGGATTGTAAGTGCATTGCACAAGCAGGGTCTAGTCATGTGCGGCATCACTGGTCAGAGAGATGGTTTAATATGGATGAGAATCCTGAGATGAATGCCTTTTGTTCTTATTGCGATGAATCTTGTGGTGTTCCTTTTATCGATGCTTCTCCAACTTGGCATTGTTTGTGGTGTCAGAGGCTCATTCATGTGAAATGTCATGCTAAAATGTCGAAAGAATCTGGTGATATTTGTGATTTGGGTCCACTTAGGAGGATTATTCTTTCACCACTCTGTGTGAAAGAAATTGATGGAGGAAACACTTTAAGTTTGATCACGGATGAAATTATAGCCTCCTCTGTTCGTGGGCAGATGAGAAGAAAGCAGCGCAGCAGAGGCAAAAATGGAAATGATCGCTCTGTTAATATTAAGTTGCAGGATGCATCAACTGCCAATAGAAGCCTGGATTTTTTGTTGAATGGGCTTGCTGGATTGAAGAGATCTAGGAGCGACACTAATATGCACTGCTTAAAAAAGAATGGCAGGATAAAGGGCACACTTAATGGGCTAGTGCATAAGAAAGGTGGAACTGCTATATGTGAACCAGTTAAGAAATACGTGTTGCTTGATTTGGCTCAAGATGCAAGGCCCCTTTTGGTCTTTATTAATTCCAAGAGTGGTGGTCAGCTTGGGCCTTTTCTTCGAAGGACATTGAACATGCTGTTGAATCCTGTTCAGGTGATGCTTTGGCTCTTTATTAGTTATCACAAGAAAAAGTGGTTCTTTAACTCCTTGTAAACTATTTTCATAATCTTTCATTGCCATGCCAAATATGTTTTATTTTCACGATCCAATTTCTGTTATCGTAAGCTTGATTTTAATTTGGAACCTCATAATGTGCTCTCTAAGTGCTATAGTGTGGAACCGTGTGAAAGCTTTTTATGAAAGAAGAAACTGGCTTTGGTTTCTTCTGGCATTACTTCCAAATAGTGGTTGTTATGAATGATTACATTTCCTCATTTGCATTTCCTGTAGCAACTTGTACGATATATGGCTGAATTTCATAATTCTTCATTGCAGGTATTTGAACTAAGTGGTTCGCTGGGGCCTGAGATTGGTTTGGAGTTATTTCGCAAGGTGCGGTATTTTAGAGTTTTGGTCTGTGGTGGAGATGGAACTGTTGCATGGGTCCTTGATGCTATTGAGAAGCACAACTTTGAATCTCCACCACCTGTTGCTATTCTTCCTCTTGGTACAGGAAATGATTTGTCAAGGGTTTTGCATTGGGGGGAGGCTTCTCAATGTTTGATGGACAAGGTGGCTTAAGCACACTTTTGCAAGATATTGACCGTGCTGCAGTTACAATGCTAGATCGCTGGAAAGTAAATATCAGAGAAGAGAATTCAGAAGGGTATATGGAAAAGGAGCAATCCAAATTCATGATGAACTATTTAGGTAGATATCTGGAGCTGTTACTCATGGATTTTTTTATCATTCTGTTTCATGTATTGCTTCATCAATCTGTTAGCCATTATCAAATTTGCTTTTGCAGGTATTGGATGTGATGCTAAGCTTGCATATGAATTTCACATAACACGTCAGGAAAATCCTGAGAAGTTTAGTAGTCAGGTAGCTATATTTTTTTGCTGGTTTTGTAATGTATCAGTGTTGTTAAATCAATCCTTCAATTGCCTGATACTTCGCTCAAAAGAGTTTTAGTTTTCCGTCGCATGCACTGTGCTGGACAGTAAGGTATCAGTACAATTTTTAAAATCTATGAGACACTGGCAGTTCAGTACAATTTTTAAAATCTTCCTGTTTCTGAGTGGAAAATAAGTTCAATGCTAGAATCTTTTTTATTGAATTATTTGTTCTCATCCAGTTTTTATTTGTTTATATCCTTTATTCTTACTCGAATGTACTCCTCATTGTTGACCTCTTTTTTTCTTGAAATGCCAGTGGATGATTGCTTGCTATAGGATATCTCTTGAGCTATTTTGCTTTTTTTCCTTAAACCTAATCCGTGAGGGTGGTTGAATGTTTAGGCTGAAAATGCTGGTGTATGTTGTCCTGAAGCTGGACAACTTCAATCAATTTCATAATTAGGTTGTTGGATCTTTAGTATCAGACATTGCTGCTAGACAATGCTGAGTGCATTGTGATACTAAATAATAAAAGAACAACTGTGCTTTTTCTATGATAAACCTGCTTAGACTGAAGTTAAAGATACAGAAGTGCTTAAGTTGCTGTAGTTTCGTTTCCTTTCTTCAGAGAAGTGCCTTTGATCTTGCGATCTTTGTTTCTATATTTACTTTTGGAATTTGGCTAATTAAAATGTAATGTGCAGTTTGTGAATAAATTGCGATATGCCAGAGAAGGTGCCAGGGATATGATGGACAGAGCCTGTGCTGACTTACCGTGGCAGGTTTGGCTTGAAGTTGATGGGAAAGACATACATATTCCAAAGGTGCTTGATTAGATATTATCTTAGTATTTGGGCTGTTTTGTTTCTTGTTTTAATTGCATTTAAAATATATTTCTTTCTTTCATATTTTCAATGTTGACTTCTTTCATCCTTCTCTTCCCTCCAGGATTGTGAGGGTTTAATTGTGCTGAACATTGGCAGCTATATGGGGGGTGTAGATCTTTGGCAAAATGACTATGAGCATGATGATGATTTCAGTCTTCAATCCATGCATGATAAAATGCTTGAAGTTGTGAGTGTCTGTGGAGCGTGGCACCTTGGCAAACTTCAGGTTTGTGATTTTCTGAAAATAGATGTCTTTGTGTCATTTACTCTGTGTGTGAGAGATAGTTGTAAGTGTTTGTGTGGCATTTCACCTCTGGAAACTTCAGATTTCTGATCTTCTTTAAATAGATTCCTTCTTATCATTCACCTTTGTGTGTGTGTGTGTGTGTGCACGCACTATGAAACCGGGCTTATAATATATTATGGAGCTCCCTTGGCTGCTATCTGCAGTTAATAATTTTTCAAAGGTATCATGTTAGAGTGGGTTTCTAAGCATCTGAATGGTTGTGAGTTTGTTTCTCGTTGTGGGTTTTATAACCCTCGTTCAAATGTATGTCTATCACTATTTGGAAGCCCTGTCGTGGTATCCAATTGGATTGAGCAGCTGAAGATCTTTAATGGGTTGCGCCAGGGATGAGGGAAAAAAAATCATTTGTTGAATTGGAAGGTTTGCTGTAGGCCAAATAAAAAAAAAGAAACCAAAAGGTTATCCATAGTTCTCTTTTTCCTACCACATTTCCTCATTTGTACAGCATATCCAATTTCTAGTTTTTAGAACATGGATGGTTGTGTCAGGGATTGAGAAATACAGGATCTTGTAATTTCTTTCAGATTCTGAATTCTGTCACTCTCTCTTGAACCAAGATGGTAGGATGTGGACTTTTAGAGTAATTTTGGGAATTCTCCATACAACCTTTTATACATCTTCTCTGATCCCTGTATTGTATTTTCCTCCCCTGGTCAATTGTATTTAGAAAGCTAAGTGATGATTCACGTTTAAGGTGTTCATTAAGGTTCTTAATAAGGTTTTTACCAATGGACCTATTTTACTTGAGGAGGCAAGGAGGCCTCATGCGACGTTGTTACGTTGAGGTTTGTTTTACTTGCATTGATATCGATGAGATGCACAACCATCCTTCTCTGATATTGTTCCAAGGCTTGGGACTTGTGGTATAGACATTTTGCATTTTGCTGATAGAAGTGGATAGTTCTGAGAAACATGTAATAATTTGATCTTCCTGATATTTGTAGGATTTAAGAGTTGGAGAATTTAAAAATCTTTGGGAGGGATTTTATTCTTGTGATTCATAGCATTTGGTTCGAGCAGGTTCTGTTATCTTCAAAAACCACATTCTCTTAAATAATTAGGAGTGAATAATCTTCTAGGCCCACTTATGGTGCCTGCTTTTTAGAGTGTGGTTGTTGCATGCAATGAGTTTAAAGGCCCTTCTGTTTGTAGGTTCTCTCCGTTAAACTTCTGATTTTGTAGGATGTGTATTTTTTTTTTAAAGAGGAATTCACAAATATTTTTTGTTTTGTATTCAGTTACAAGAGATGTTATTTTATTTTTTGTCTAATGCTCGTTCTACTGTTCAGGTTGGACTTTCACAAGCTAGGAGGCTAGCACAAGGGAAGGCCATCAGAATACATGCTTCAAGTTCTTTCCCAGTTCAGATAGATGGGGAACCATTCATCCATCAACCTGGTTGCTTAGAAATAACACATGATGGACAGGTAATTTTTGTCTCGTCTCTTATAATTCACTTGATGCTCACACGAGGCTTGGCTAATGGCATCCGGCTTTTCATTGCGCACCTAATCTCATAGTTCATGCATTCACATTTTTACTTGAATGATCCTTTAACATTGGAAACACCAGCACATCACTCCATTTGAATTCCAGATAATGAGATGTGAATAAAGAAGAAACTTGATCTGTCCCTAGTAACTGCAGAGGTACAACTATGGAAGAAATGTTTCTTTCTTTGTGAAAGATTACTGAATTAAAAATGATCAAATATACTATACTGATTTTGAATAAGTTTTATCAAAAGGAAATTGTCTTCCTAGATCGTTGCCATAGTAAACAAAAATTAATTTTATGAATTGAACAATTAACCACCAGTACATGAATCAGAGGAAGATTGTTTAGTAACTATGACAAACAAATTGAGATCAAGTATACTATACTGATTTTGAATAAGTTCTATCAAAAGGAAATTGTCTTCCTAGATCGTTGCCATAGTAAACAAAAATTAATTTTATGAATTGAACAATTAACCACCAGTACATGAACCAGAGTAAGATTGTTTAGTGTGTCTATTACAAACAAATTGAGATCAAGTATGAGCCCATAATTTGCTGTTACATATAATAAAATATGAAATCATGCCCTTGCATATAGAGGCACAGCCCCAATTGATAGAAAGCATATACAAAAAAATTCAACAAAAAGCAATCCCATGTTGTTGATGTAAATCTTTATATATTATCTTCATGGTTTCAGAAAAGACTTTCTAAATCTTCTTTTTTTGTTCTCTTTCTCTAGTTTATTAGATGCTGTATTTCATTTCAATATCATTTATTTCATTCCTTATCTTTGCATTTTCTTCGTCTTTGCTATAAACACATGGCTTTGTTTTTTGGAAACTACTTGATTTGATTGAAGATGTGTGTAAGTGCGTGTGTATTTGCATACTATTATCTCCAAATAGAGATTGGGGAGGAACATTGTCAATCCTGTCGTCACAAACAGAATTAATGGAGAAACCAAGCCAAGCAAACTATTTCCTTTGACACATAATATTATGATGAATGATATGCATTCTCAACATAATGTTTAGGGAAGCAGTAACTACCATTTTATCCTTTGTAATTTCTTCTTCTTCTTCTTCTTCTTTTTCCTAGTTTTTTTGTCCCTATTTTTGATACTATTGATACAGCACAAGTGTTCTTCATTTTTCACCTCTGTAAAATCGGAATGTTTCAGGTGTTCATGTTGAGAAGAGCCTCCGAGGAGCCCAGAGGCCACCCAGCTGCAATTATGTCAGAGGTCTTGGCAGATGCTGAGTGCAAAGGAATTATCAATGCATCTCAGAAGAAATTACTTCTCCAGCAATTGGCCCTCAACCTCTCCTAGATTCCAATTTCTAAACCCTCCATCTTTTCGCCTCTTAACTTCTCACATTTTGTCCCACTAACATATCGCATGTCCTTCCTTTTCTTTCTTTTCCAGTTTCGCAATCCTTCTTTATTTCCTTGTTTCTTTTTGGATCACCCATTTTGACCACACCAGGATTTCCTCTTTACCACATAACTTTTTTGTAGAAGCAATAGTAAACCCAAAGGCGAGACTGACAGCCCCACGAAACAGAAGCCAGCTGACACAGGAGCATTGTAAATGGAGGCAATGAGAGAGATTTGATGAGAGTTTTTTTGTTCCTATTGTGAGATACACACCGTACATATTACAAACAGAAATGAAACAAAATAACATTTATAGCTTCTGAATTTTTCCCCTTTGATTACCAAAATCTTCTTTAGTGGCTTCGCTCGGCAAGAGAGGAAATAGCTCACTGATGATTTTTGCTGGCATTGCAAGATGGATTTATTTACATGGAAATTACTAGATACACAATAGAGTCAGTTCACTGACTTTGAGCCCATGTATGGTGTGCCTATGCGCGTGTTGCATTTGCTGCTCTCTTTTCTTTTGTAGCAAGTTTTGTTAGCTTGACAATAAGTTGGCAGTTCAAACTTTTGTTTAGGTGTGACTGGCCTGGGTCCTGACACGGATGGAATCTAAACGCCTGGCTTTTCAGCTGATCTAAACCAGGCTCTTATTTGCCTCCTCACAAACCATTATTACGCTAACTACAAGCCTACAATTTGCGAATATCCTATCTCGTTAGATGTTACAGTGTTGTTTAGTTAAGATTCCCATTTTCGTATTTTGCTCCTTTTATCTAGTAAATTCTTATATTGAGGGAGTTTTTATCTTCACAGTACCTGATAAATATCTGAGCCAAAGATCCTGGAGGGGAAACAAATAGACGTCTCGTGTGGATTATAGACCTCAGCCCTGCCACTTTACCCTGTAAAGTGCAAACAAACCTATGTAATTCAAATTGTTGCACTATGAATCGGCCATTAAGGGGGTTGCAGTCTTATATCTAAACGCCACTTATAATCATTTGACCGCTCGAACCCCGCAGGAAACATGGTAAATACGTTTTCCAGATATTGTCAAATTTCAGTTAAATCAGTTTTAGCTAGAATAAACTAGAGAAAAGACTTTGAAACATTGGTGCCCTCCCAGACACTGTCTTAGACGTTAGACAAAAGTTGAAAATGTCAACAATATTTGAAAAGAAAACAGATTGGATTGATAAGATGGTGCAAACAAAAGGGACCCATCTTCCTTGACAGATATGAACGAATAAGAAAGATTGATACAACCCATGCGATTCAGTGCACCTGATCAAGCTATCTTACTTGCCTTTCTTCATGCTCTCCTCTCTTTACCGAGTTATATGCCAAGTAATTTCTGGAAATCAAAGGGGTGCATGCACCTTTCGATGGTATTGTAAAAACCTATAAATTATGTTCCTCCTTGTCGAATCACTACTAATCATTTGGGCAGAAGAATGAATGACCTTGTAGAGGTAAATATGCCATTATTTTTATTTTTGCAAGAAATTTGCTACTATTATAATTAACAACTCTCTTTGTGATTCAATTTTTATTTTATTTTTTTCTGTTTTGGGTTTATTGAAGGGACTATTGGATTTTGAACCCGCAATTAGTCCGTCCTTTTTTAATTTGTCCAATTCTAACTAATAACCATTTAGTCACGAAATAGCACCCACCATATATCATCTTATTGAATACCATCAATTCATTTTTAGTTTTATAAGTTAATAACTCAATCTTATATAACAATATAATTCTTCAAGTTATTCTTATATTTTTAATTGAATTAATTTTATCTTTAAATATATATTAAATTTCTAATATATTATTTTGTCGAGATTTTTAGATCAAATTAATGACATTATTCACGAGATTTACACATGATTAATTTTTATTTTCAAATTATTCTTGCAAGTTAGTTAAATATAAAATTTTCATGTGTAAATTATATGATTAATTCTAATAATTCAGCATGAAAACTTTACTAGAATAATAGTTTAAACACTTAACATATGTTCGAGAATAAAATTAGCTTCATTAAAAATATAAAAATGGATTAAAAAATTATTCTATTATATAAAATATTATATAAAAACAGATTTAACCATTAATCCTTGCTTTATACAGAACCATTAGTTCTTGATATATAAATATTTTGAGTTTTTTTCCCTTAGTATTATGTCCAATAAATAAATAATTAATTAATTTCTCTCAAGTCAGGGAAAAAAAAAAAAAAACTAATTCTCGCAATATATGCTATAAGTTAACCATTTACCACGCAGTAGTTGCAAAGCTTGGAAGTATTTCTACGTTTTCACATTACAATTTACATTCACACAACACTATAGCACTACAGAACCCTAATGAGCTAGCTACTACCATCAGAGAAGAGCTAGCTAAGCTAGTATGGAAGTATTGCAGTACACCCCGATAATAAATACATGATGATGAAGGCATGAAGCTGTCAACATAAGAGATCGATGTTGGTGGAACAATACAATGTCTATCTATCCATGCCTTCTCTCTCTGCTGTTACATTTCCCAAGAAGAGTCAGATAGTCGTCATTTACTCTCCCTCCCTCCCTCTCTCTTCTCTTCTCTCTAATTGAAAATTGAAATTGATGTTGGGTTTTCAAAAGCCAAAATATCAGTACTCTCCATGAGAGAAACAAGCGGGGCCTCCTGATCTGCCATGTTTTATTGGTGAGCTAGCTAGCTTTTCTAAGAATAGTAATTATCTGATATTTTCAACAATTCAAAAGCTCTTATCATAAAAGCACCGCACCATTCTCTCTTTGGTCATCTGTCTTTGTTACTTTTCCAGTAAAGTTTTTCCTTGTCTTCTAATATGCAGGTTTTTTTGGGTCATGAATAGTAACGGCAACAAAGAAGTTGGTCATAAGAATCTATAACCACCGAGAAACTAGCTGCATTTCTTCTCTTGTTGACTGTTAACATTTATGAATAGCATCTTTCATTCAGTCTTCTTCATGCTCAGCCCTCTATGCTAACTTCTTACTACAAAACAAAACCCCACAATAAATGCAACAGTTACGTTTCAATGCTAAGCTTAATTCATAAGTCATAGCCCACGTCATGTTTCTGAGCAAAAACGCATAAAATAAAAAGAAGTCTAATTTTAGTTGCTAAATTGAGGATGAAATAGACCCATTTGAATGTTATATAATCATGGGCTATTTAGGCTAACTGACTGTATGTGTCCACCTGGTTACTGAATATTTGCTTCTAATTTGATATAATGGCTTGCATGAGCGTGTAGAAATTAACTAGCTAGGAAAGGGAAGAAGATACATGTCTTTACCTGCAGGTTTCAAACATATCCCTTTATTTTTTCAGGCTTAAAAGGGAGCAGTATTATACTGGAGGCTACAGAGAGGGCTGCCTTTTGAACACGATAGAAGGAAGTGTAGGCTTTTAGCTAGGTCTCTGATGACAATTTCAAAACCCAATAGCCTTTCACTGCACATGCTATCTTGTCCACGTCTAATGTAGGCATTCAGGGCTACCTAGATACCACATGCGAGTTAGAGAAAATAATTCTTTAAATCTCTGTTATTTAATATTGTTAAGTAAGGAATAATCAAGAAACTGAGTGATTTTCTGTTCTTTTTTTT